GAGTTCAGAGGCTGTTCCAATTTTATTTTGACCCCACTTCAACAACCATTATGGTTCCAAGTTATCCTGATCACATAATTTATACACATGCTTTGAAAGTGGTAAGTCCCTTGAGCTGTTGTCTGCTCCCAGTACTCAGGAAGTGAGACTATGACAGGGCTGCCATGCCTGGACTTTGTAAGATACAGGTTCTTTTTCTAGTAAGGTATATTGGTCTTTGGCCATGCTCTAGCCAAAGAAACATTCCCTAAACGTGAACAGTTCCAATGCATTTAGCTGACTGCAGATCATGACATAACGTACATATTTCTCCCCAAGAAAGCCAAAGAACAGCCTACTGCTTGTTCCACACACATTAGACAGCAAGCAAAGTCTTACCCTGCTCCATGGCAAGTGTACCACATAGCTGGATACCTCCAGGCAGTCATAGAAAAGGATGGATGGACACACAAAATGGACAATCTGTAGGAACTGGGGACAGCCTCCCTTATTAAAGTATGTAGGGATTACTTTGCTTAATTTTTTCTAAAACCAATTTATGGGCGTTGATTAAATTGTTTATCTTTTAGCATCACAGTTCTTCCTTCAGACAAATGCTTACACTATTAGGAACAATCTGCTATTTTAAACAAGATTTTAGATTAAATTCAGAGCAGAGCAACAGCTTCATTAATTTTTCCATCTGTTCTGTTCAGGCTTGTTGGCTTTCATGTAACATTTAACTTTTGTATGAACACAAAATGCCAAAAGCTAAACTGAGCTCAATTCTATTGTGCTTCACAATCTGACAGAAGGTAATCTAATAATTTGCCTCAGATTTGGTTGAATAGGATAGGCTTCTCCTCAATGTTCACCAACTATTCTATTTAACCAAGGAAAAGAGGAAACACTGAGAAATGCAATTTCCCTAACATTGATGGCTGCCATAGGACCTCTCATTGATGTCACAGTTCCACACACCAAGATGTGAAGTTCTAGGAATTTAACAGTATTTGTATTTCTAGGCAAATCCACATGCCTTTAAGCAACTTAACTTCAACTTTTGGCTGACCTTGTTAAATCTGTCTAAACCTGGGAGTTATCCCATCCAAGCAAGAGAAGGCAGTCTACACTTAACAATCCAGTACTTTTTCCTCAGGAAGAGGAAACCAAATTATCAACAGTTGATATTAAAAAAAAAAAAAAATACAAAACTGAGAGTAGCAAAAAAAAAAAAAAAAAAACAATCCCAGACTCTCCAGAAAAAAGAGATCCCGAAGCTGTATGGCAACAGATTAAGTTACTATCAAGTATTTCCAAAGGTTCTTAATACACTGACTGCACCAGCCCCAGTCCTGTGAAGCAGGAGCAGCCAAGAGGCCAAGCCAGGGCATTTATCACAACAGCTCAGAGTCAGCAAGAAACCAAACAGCTGAGACTTGATGTCTTGCTAGTGAAAGAACAGAGCACTGTCAAAGATTCTTTCCAGCATACTGAAATATCTATGTGGATAGCAACAATTCTAGTTTTGAGGTCCAGTCAGAAATACTCCAGAGTTTAAAGGTTTTTATACATATGAAATTATCATCCACATTTTAGATTATGGCTTCTATTGCTCTAAATGGCTTGTTTCAAAATAATTAACCACCATTTCTCTTCCTGAACGAAGGGTAGCTCTCACACTTACAAGTTCCAGAAAACTTTTACCCAATCTTTAAGACACTGACAATAGGAGCTTTGTGTTGTGGGCTGATCTAAACACACTAATGGCATATACATATATATATACACACACATATTATTTTTTTTAATTTATATATATATATATACACCAGAGTCCATAATAAATGGACTTGAGTTCAGGGCTTAAGGTAATGGAAAGAGAAGAAAAATTTAGATGGTTGTGTAGCATGTACAGCCTGTAAAGGTGTGCAGAGAAACACCAGGCTAGAACTAGGCACCTTATAGACCAGGCACTATGTAAGCACTGTCAATCACAATGTGCTTTTCTAAATGTCCTAACACCAGACACAAGAACATCAAAGAACAGGGACAGCTGCTATATTGCTGTGAGCTCCATCTGATTTTATGATCCTGGCAAAATTTTAACTTAATCTCCCATGTTGCTCTCTGAGACAAATGTATTTCCCAGATGGCAATGCTTCAGTTTTACACATGTCGAGTGAGGAGCTTCAGACCAAGAACAGAACTTGCACTGTTCTCAAACCCACAGCCTGCCTAACAACATGAAGAAAGCAGCACCTGGCTGCTTGTTCCCCTACCTCTGATTTGCCATGGATAATTTTCAGTCTTTAACTTGCCAGTACTTAGCAGAACAGTCAGAACTGTTTTATCCCTTGTTCTGCAGGAGGTTAGCTCCTCCAAGTCTTTTTTTCAAAAACATTTGACCAACTCTTCATCTGATTTCCCATCTGTTTCCAGCTAAAATCAAATGTTCAAAGTAATCATAAATAGATCAACTTTGAGTGTCATGAATATTGCAGATTGGTAGAAACTCTTCACCAAGAAACCCAGTAATACAGACACTAGCAAGGACTTCAGATTGTAGCAATTTATCTTTTTACAATCACTTTCTCCCATAGCACAACCCTAAAAACACATTAATTTAAAATGTTGATGAATTTTCAGTGAACAAATGGCTTCCTTCCCCTACTGTAGCTCACCTGACCTATGCCAATGTGCAAGAGGTATTGGATCAAGCAGATGAAGGAGATGTTACAAATCACCAGGACTGGATGGTCAGTGAACACTTTTAGCTACCATTACAGACAGACCCTGTGCCAGATGACTGGCACACCACTACTGCCCATCCACAAAAAGGGCTGTTGAGGGAATCCTACAACTTACAGACCGATGAGCCTGATCTCAATCCCTGGTAAAGTTGTAGAGCCTGTGGTAAGAGTTATGAGCCTATAGATAGATATGGACATTTTGGAAAGAATTTGCATGCTTCTTCAGAAGGAAAATCCTGTCTTACTAACCACAGAGTCTCTGGAAGAGGTGAATAAGCAGAAGGAAAAAGGTGATACCACCAGACATACCTGGATTTCAAAAAAGTATTTGCCAATATTGAACACTTGATAAGCTAACATTACTAAGAAATTGGATTAAAAAGAACTATTAAAAGGTGAAAGCTGGTTAAAAAGAGTGTTGTCAACCTTATTTCAAAAGTTCCATACCTCCTCAGTGATTACTTATGTGCTGCTCCTCACAGCACTGACTCCTTCTTCACAGCACAGCCAACAAACTCCAACTCTCTCCTCACCCAGCTAACCCACTCTTTTGTAGCACTTGTCTTATTGGACACAGCTGGGGCCTGTTAAGGGCAGGCCTGTTCCTAATCTTTGGTGATTAGTGCAGCTGCAACTCCTCAGGTATGAGACTACCTTCTGCACAATTTTCTTACATTCTATCCCTCCACAAAAGGGTAGGAAGGAAACCACAAAAAACCCATTCATTATCATGACTTGGTGATGAATTTATTTATAAGGCAAACTATCTAACTATCAAATAAACTGGACATACTTAGTGTTACAAAAAAGTAGTTAAAGTAGTTAACTAATTTTAATTAGTTTAGATTAGTTATGTAGTTAAAATTAGTTAACTAATTAAATTAGTTAACTAATTTAACTACTGGAAGTTAAATTAGTTTGATTCCAATTAGTACAAGAACAAAAAAAGTGAAGTTATTCTAAATTTTATCACTACCACCTTTATTTCCACAGTTCATTTCAAGAACTGATAGAAACCAGCACAACAAATACAAAAAGTGAGAGAAAAACATGTATTTTATTTGTTTTGAGGCAAAAGGAGCTTGTCTCATTTAGATCAAAGAAATGGAGAGCAAATGATTGAATCAAGTTTTTAAGAATTTACAGAAAACAGAAAAACCATCTTCATGTTTATCACACCAATAAACAACTGAATTTCCTATGAACTCTCTAATCCTTTAGACTTGGCACATTTTTTACTGCCCACTACCACACTTCACATCTTTGTTTTTCAAAATGTTATATTACCTATGTAAACATCTGTTTTATGTGTAAACTTCAACCAGTAAATGGGAAAGCCTACTAATTTATCCACCCCCAAAAAAATCAAGTATTAACTAAATATCAAATTAATTACATCATATTCTATGTAATACTGTTTCAACAAGAACTAAAGCCTGTTGAATTCATAACAAAAAGGATGCAGAAACAAAAAGCAGATGTGCAGTGTCATGCATTAGTGTAATAACATTTTAAGGCAATAATAAAAAAGGTAAGTTTTATTTTTAACTATACTCACCAAGACAAAAATCAAGCCTGTTCTCTTAGTTCATTTTGGTAGTGTAGGCTTTCTTCTTTGCTCAAGCTGAAACTGTTAACTTTTAGCATATTCACCTGTTACTGTTTTTGATAATAAGATACTTTGGTCAAAATACATGTAGATTTAAATTTTGCACAACAGTGGAGTTTATATGTTTTTAGTTCAAATTTTTATGGTGAAATAAAGAAAAACTCTGTTCCCAAAGAATCAAATTGGGTAAATGGGAAGAAATACTTGAAATTAAATACACCTAAACTAAACAACTCATGAACAGCAATATCTCTGCAGGAAATAGAAGTTCATCAGCCTAAATCAAAAGACTGAGTTAATACTATTCTTATAGGCTTTTTGTTGTTGTTTTGTTCACTTCAGGCTCAGATTGAGTGAACAAAAGTAAACACATGGCAGTCTGGAAAGCCAGACATCACCAAAGATTTCCTTTATTGTTCAATGGGCCTTTGTACTGCAGAGCATCATCAACCCCAACCATTTCAAACAAGAAACTGAAATCACATCTCAAAGTTGTTGCAAATAATCCCAAAGTAATTATAGTATCACAGTAATCAAAATGACTGTTCTTTTTCCTCTGCTTATAACTTAATCTACTACCTGTAATTTTTACAAACTGCAGTTCACATTAAAACATTTGCTGATAACAAAGCTTTTCTTTGAAAACAACACTGCTTTACATCTAGTCAGGCAGCTTGTGCATATCAGAGCACTGTCAAGAGAGACATGGAAAAGGGTAAAGGAGAAAAAAGCTGAAATATGGCTGCAGTTTATCTGTGCCTCTAATGCACTGCAGAATTTCAGGCAGCACTTGAGACAGCGAGTTTCTTCAGATGATCCATAAATACTTGTAAGCTGACATCATCAGTAAGAATGGGTGCTCCAGACTCCTATGAAATAAGGGAAAAAAAGAGAACTGATTATACACATTGTGAAGAAAAAGCATTTTAAGACACAATATGTTCCATTGAATAAACATTTTATAAATTTAGCAAGATCTTAGAAGCGTATCATTGCTGAAATTCTGACAAAAAACCCAGCAGACTGTACATTTACATAAATTTTCATACATTTACATGAATTCAAGCATAAACCACAACTACATTCTCTTCCATTAACACACAGAGCAATGACTTGGTGTATAGCAAAATCTTTACACCAGGCATACAAAACTCGAGAACTGCCAAATATTAATTTACAAACTTCTACATGTAAATAAAATTTCCACAGCACAGTTCCTGCATCATTCCTGCCTCAGCAGAGCAAAAAGGAGAGAAAGAGTAATATGCAAATGACACAACCAACAAATCAGTATCTGTCAGTGAAGCTAAGACATATCAAAATGGTGAAAGAAGGAAACAAATCCCCTAAGGGTCTGATTTGACCAAGTAAACGTCATCTGGCTTTCCCAAAGAGAGGTGGGTCTGTTCTCTCCTGTGGCTCTCTACCACCTCAGAGAAAGACCAAAAGCAGCTGAAACTCACGAGCAATCAAATCACAAAACAACTAAAAAAACCTTTTGGGTGGATTCTTGCAATTTCACAAATCCAAGAAGTTCAAAACTGTCATGTTTTAATTACTATTTCTAAACAAATTTACCAAATTTAACAAAGTCAAAATAAACAAGCAGCTGGCAACTCTGCAAATATTACACAGTAACTCCCTTAAGTCTTTTGAGACCAGTCTACCACTATTTCCAATTACAGATACAGGAAGAATTCCTGTAGAGCTCAACAATTCAACCTTTTCAAAGGTACAAAGCATCCATATTTCCAAATAAAACCAGAGCTGTCAGAACTCTTGTAAAGTCTTCCAAAACACAGACACAAAAGTCCTAATGAGGATGCTCAGAACTCAAAAGTCCTAATGAGATGCTGTTTTCTGAGACCTGGCCAGAAACAGTTGTCAGTGAATAACCAAGAGACAAATCCAAGTGCAGCAAGATTTCTTGGATCACTAGATACACAGCCACTCTCAGGGAAGGCACACTAAATTAGCTATCATCTGATGGCAGCAAGATGAGATTAAAGGATGCTCTACTTCCAAGCCTGTCAAATGCTAACTCTAAGCTCTCCTATATAAGAATCATAGAATCATTTAGGTAGAAAAGACCTCTAAAGTCAGTGAGTCCAACCATTAACCCAGCACTGCCAAACCCACCGCTAAACCATGTCCCTAAGTGCCACACCTACACAACTCCTAAATACCCCCAGGGACAGTTACTCTACCACTTCCCTGGGCCTCTCATTCCAATGCTTGACAACCCTTTCTATGAAGAAATTTTTCCTAATATCCACACTAAATGTCCTCTGGCATATTGAGGCAATTTTTTCTTTTTGTATTGCTTGTCACCTGTGAGAAGAGACCAACTCGTAACTGGCTCCTTTCAGGTAGCTGTGCAGAGTGATACAGTCTCCCCTGAACCTCCTCTTCTCCAGACTAAGCACCTCCAGCTCCCCCTCAGCCACTCCTCACAGGACTTGTGCTCCAGAGCCCTCACCAGCTCCATTTCCCTTTCCTGGACATACTCCAGCACCTCAGTGTCCTCCTTGCAGTGAGGGGCCCTAAACTGTACACAGGACTCAAGGTGTGGCCTCACCAGTGCTGAGCACAGGAGGACAATCCCTTCCCTGGGTCCTGCTGGACACAATATTCTTGATCCAAGCCAGAGTGCCATTGACCTTCTCCGTCACCTGGGCACATACAGGCTCATGTTCAGCAGCTGTCAATCAGCACTCACAGGTGCTTTCTGAAAATTTCAACTGCATCTTCAGACACCAACCACATAATAAAGACGCACAAAAAGTTTGTCATTAATTTCTGAAAATGCTTTCTATACTATTAAGGCACATGCCTCCTAAAGGTTAAAGAAAATCTTTACTTAGAATATTAAAAACCAACCAGGCAATTCATCACCTCCTGAAACATGCTTTCAGTGGTGTGTGGGTGCCCTCTTCAGGTCAGTGTGGACTTTTAGTTGTGCACAAAATAAAATATGAAACAATCCAGGAATGTCATGAGAAAAAAAGAGCAAGATGCCAATCAGTTTTAAATTTCTCCCAGATATAACACTTCTCATTTCATAATTAGTACTTGATTCAACTTTTTTTCACAAAAAAACCTGTAAATGCTACCATATCAAGTACTAGCATATTACCTTGAGCACACATAGTGCAGTGCCCCTGGGGAGGTTAATACATCATTTCTTATGTTACCCTAGAACTGAATTCTTTTCAGCATTAAAATGGACAGCTATCTTTTGCAAGATGTATCAGTCTCACCTGTCCAGCATGAAACATTATCTTACAGATCAGTTGAAGATTTCTTTTTTGTATTTACATTTGGAATACTGTTTCATTTGCTTATTAATTAAACAAACAGAAAACAGTTGTCCTGTACTGCTGGAAATGTGGAAACTTCAAAAAATTCCAGGTAATGTTTAAATTAAAAATAAGACCTTCTAAACTACAGCATTTGTGTGTATGTTGAGGGGAAACAAGATGAAGGGAAGCACTAATGAACTGCTGGTTAGATTACCAAGTTTGGAAACAAAAGAATTTGGGATTTGTGTTCAAATTGTGCTGGACCTGACTCAGTACAAAATTTTCAAGTTTTTTCACTCTGGACCTCAGTGATGTTCATTGCCAGAAGCTTCATTAGATCCAATTCATCCCTATGAAAATGTAGCCTGATAAAACTTATTTGACAAAGTAACTGCCATAAAATTGCTATAGAGTTTTCTCACTCATGACTTCAATAGTGTACACCAATTAGCAAAATAGTCTAAGAGCACAGTTAATATGTAGCTTCAAATGTCTGATGCCATTAGATTTGCATGAGAAGATGACACTTCACTAACACTCACTACAGGCACCATTCAAGAATACAAGCTGCTATAGAGTGTTTAACTTCTGAATAAAACTTTCTGCTTAAAGACAAGATTTGAAAACTGATTTCTGGCCACAGAAATTCTGGAAAACATCAGTACACTGGCACCGGTGTATTTGCCAGTTCTTGTAACTACCTTCAACGCTTATCTCCCCTACTGTAAAACAGTCCCTTGGACTTCATGTGTGGAAAGCACCCTCATTTCCAGTACTTTAAGGTATTGATAGCAATGAGATCTAAAGCTCTGTGATACAGGTGGACAGGAAGATAACAATACAAGGCTGCAACATGCTGACTTAAAGACAGGGCCACCAGGCAAAGGTCAAGCAGCCTTTCTAATGGCTCAGCCAGGTGGAAGAAGCAATACTGAAGTGTTACTGTTCTGTTCTGCCCTTGAGCAATTTTCATCCACAAGACAGCTCAGCCTGACCAAAGCTGCCTAAACCCTCATTGTCACTCATTTACATATGAAAAAACACACCCACCAGTATGAAAATTATGAAGTGGCTGCCCTTCTTACATCTTTCACAGCAGCAACAGGGAACATCCTATTTGACTACAGCAGGTATAAAATTATTCTAATTCCACCATGGTGTGGACAGGAATATGAGTCTACATTTCAGGCTGATGGGCTTGCTCCTCTCTCCCTCAAAAGCAAAAACACTGTTTGGTAAGATCTGCATCTCTGCTACTAAGCAGAATGAAACTAAACTTAATTACTGGTAAAGTTAAGCTTAATGAATTGTAAATTATATACTTAGCTTAATCAATCATTGTCTAGCCTCAGAATATTTAGTACTACGGCAGTAAATGCTCTTATCAGTGACTATTCCAAATCTTTTTATCTGTTGCCTCAACAAAATATCTGCTTTTAACTTTGCAAAACTATTGCAGTCAAAGTCCTTTGAGAGGCTCTGTCAGGCAAACATCAAACCCATAGTCTTAAGACAACACCGTCTAAGAAAGTAGGCTAGACATGAAAGCAGCCTAACAGAAGCTTAAAATAGTAAACCAGATCATTTCTGTCTGAAGAAATAAAGCCCATTTTTCTTAACTTTTGTAATTTTGGTCACATCAGACCAAAATTGCACTTCTTTTTCAGTTTCAAAAACTTCACATTATTACTTATACATACCTAATGTGCCACTTCACTTGCCTTCTGAAATAAGGGGAAAAAAATCAAGTATACAAGCTTTGTCAGCAGATTCATACTCACCTGTCCCCATGCATACATGTTGTTATGAGTCTGAGAGGGATTTACTTTTGAAAGCAGGAATCGAGCCTTTAAAAAAAATAAAACAAAGACAAGAAATTGATCTTCTCAAACAGAATTTTCCTGCACTCAGAAAAAAATTGCGTATGTATGAAATGTCATTTCTATTATCCAGAGATACAGACATTGCAAACAGCACCACTGTAAATAAAGCCAGTCACTGATTCCACAGCTCTAATTAAGAACTGCTAACAACTTTCTGATGCAGCTGAAAGTAAGCTTTTGTATTTTTCATGCACTAGCAAAGCAAATGTGAATATCAACAAGCCATTATTAATAAGTTTTTAAAAAATGACACCAATAGTAATACTGGTATTGGTTCAGAGACCCAGGCAAGTACTGTCTTTTCTGCCCTACACAGCTTACACAAAGAATCTGAGACTCCAAGTCAGAATGATTAAAACAGTAATACACAGCAGGATTCACAAATTAGGGAGAAAGCTACTCCTAAATATCTTGTTCTGTAAAAGCTTTAAGAGTCAGAACATTGATTTGCAATTTATGTATATTTTAGCAGAGAAATTGATTTTTACTACAAAGATATCTCACAAAATTACTAATATATCATTTCCAAGATTATATAACATACACTTCACCATACCTGGCTTCCTCCATGCTCTGTATCAATGTATCTGGGCATTGGAAATCTGGAATGGAGAATTTCTTGGGCATCGTCTACTGGAGCTTGCAGCAAGTGGTGGAAATTTTCATATTCTGGCATATCTTGGTACCCCGACTTACGCCACTGTGCTATGGTCTGGGGACAGGGAAAGAAAGAAGTTTAGAACTGATTCACCAAACTTTCTTAGAGGATACACAGGTCTTTTCAGAGGAGAATGTGCCATTGCTGGCCTCTTTTCTATCACTCATCCCTTTCTGCCCTATAGTATGGAAGTTAATTTTCAAAAGCCAAGATGTGCAGGTAACATGCTACTAGATTTTTTTTTTCTTAACAATTTGTGGTCCATCTGTATTTCCTCTTTTTTTGTCATCTTTTACATGCCAAGTATTTTGTTTGAAGGAGGTCAAAGACATTATTTACACTTCTCTAATATGCATGTCTATGAAACATAAGAAATAAGTATTTATACTGATACCTTTCAGAGTCTGTAGCACAACCTCCCCACCCCTCTAGGAGAGAAGCTGGCTGCTCCAGGTCAGCTCACTGATACAGGCAGCTGCTAGGAAAGCCCTGCTAGGGGCTGCTAGGAAAGCCCTGGAGGAACCCTCAGCAGGGGCTCCTCCCTCCTCTGCTTGGCAGCTGCTTTTAAACTGAAGGTCTCATTCCTGGCTCCTGCCTGAGCTACAAGCCTGGACCAGGCCATGTACCTACTGATCCGGACCCCCACTCAGGGACTGGACTTCATGGCCAGAACTTGGAGCTGCCTCATCCCCATCAACTTGTCTGGTGATCTGCACTGAAGGCTGAGTCTGGCTACAGCCCTCAGCTGCTCTGCTTGCCTTGCTCAGGTACACTGGGGACAGGACCTCAAGTGACAAGACCCTGCTTGCCTTGCAGAGATGCTCAGCCCCTGCTCCCTTTCCCTCAGGGAGCAGCCACCACTGCTGCTTGCTGATAGCACCTTACAAAAATAAGGTAATATTCTGCTACTTAAGAAGTGTTGAAGTTCAGTAAATATTTTTATCAGTGCAGATACAAGGACAGGATCCAGAATAGTATTTTTCAAATTCTCAGCTATGAACCATTTACACTTGCAAAGCACTAAAAAAACAGCAGCTCAATTCCTTCAGGGAGGCAGAGTAGTAACAAGTCACAAGCACTTTATTACTAAGGAATGTCTATCTACCAAACTGCCAGGAGCAGTTCCATTCATCCAGGACAGTACAGACAAAGGGTGACTATAAACTTGGTGTTCTGACTACCCATCCCTGAAGAACCAATTTAAAGGTCTAAAATAAATGAGTGAAAAGTGGGGAGGAGGGGGAGAAAGGGTATAACACTCTCTAAAGTAGGAAAAATATTCATCTAAAAAAAATACTCTGCATATTAAAGCTAATTAATCTCAAACTCATCATAAGAAACAGGACCAAGATGTCAAGTCATGTCAGGTATCTGCATATAGATATGTTAAACTACCAAACTACAAACACAAACTAGGACTCTGCTGTCAGCCATGCAGATGAGAGGGTCAAGCACTGGAGGTGCATGAGAATGGAGCCTGACTTCCAGTGATTGCCATAATATATCACTCCTACAGAAAAAAAGTATTTATGTAAGAAATGACAACTCTTACCTCTCCATGATAAATAAGGATTTGGAAAAAGGTGTCCATAAGGAGAATGCGATCTGGTAAAATGCTGCTGCTATCCAGAAGAACAGGCTAAGATTTAAAAATAAATTTTCAAATTATCAACTGAGATTTTTTAATCAGTAACTTTGGAACTTTTTCAATCACTTACTAAAGCTCCATATTTGCTCCTTTTCATGTTACACATCTGCAACCCACACAATTTCATTCTGAAGTTATCCTGCCTGATTCTATGTCTGATACTTCATGAAAGTAATAAAAAATGTATTCAAGAGCTGAAACCCCTTTCATTATTATGCACTTTACTAGTCCTTCATGTACCTCTGTATTTAGCCATACAATGCCATTAATTTGAATTGTATTTCAATGCATAAAGATTCAGCAGTTCAAGTGTAAGATTTTTGTTTGGGTTTTTTTTTAAGTCTTGTTTTCACAGCATATTAGTACTATGCATATATATCCCCCAATACTGTATATAGTAAATACTCATGGTTTATGAAATCTAATATAAAATTTAAGGTTTTCAGTCACCTTTCTAAGGGTAGTGACACTGTTATCAGTGCTATATGATTTAACTGAATCAAAATTACTAGAGATAACAGAAATGTTAACTATTCCAAGAATCAAGAAAAAAATGTTATTCATTCTGCACTGAGACATTAGCTCCTGTTTAATCATATTTATCCTTCAATCACCAATGGAACTACTTGTTTTTCATACATGGGAGACTTGCAAGCTGCTCTTCACAAACCACCTTATTACTTTCATTTGAATTCCACTTCTAAAAGACTTTTTTTTATATCCTCATGTATAATCTAAAAGAAAAAATCCTGAAAAAAGTTAGTAATACAACCTGCCAAGATCCTCAACTACTGCGTTTGCTTTCACTGCCTTGCTCTCTTTTATGTAACAGACTACTTTTGTTATTAGCTGACACAAAGAAGTGCCTGACACTTCTTTCAGAAGCTTCTTGGAATACTAGCTTTTTATTTTAGGTTTATACAGAATGTGCCATGACAAGGTCAGCTGGAAGGTTCTGTACTAAATCTACACATAATGGGAACCATGTTAAAATTAGAAGCTTTGGATTAAGGCAATAAAATTGAGGAAATTTTTTACATTTAAGAAAACCTCAACTTTTCTTTCAGGTAACAGTGAAACTACATTTTTAAATAAAATCAATTTGTTTATATTTACATTCTGGCTCCACAAAGCCAAACAAAGCTCTCAAAAACTAACAAAAAAGTACCATCCTTAAGTTTAAAAAATAATCTCTTTACAAAGTGACTTTTATTCTCAAGACTGCTACATCACAATTCTGAGATATGCCTTGTTCATAGCTGCTTTAAATCAAATGAATGTTATTTCTCATACAATAAATTTTAAACCAATACATTTTATAACATGTAACAGTGAAGCCAGCAATCAGCTCTTTCTCAACAAAGCATCTTTTAACCCACTATGGAGTTATTTTACTGATACCTCTGGAGGTCCATTGAAAGAGTAGGCATAAAGAATTGGCTGAACCATGATAAGCGACTGGGTTAGATCTTGACGCATAAAATGATGACGATAGTAGGAGCTCTCGTCCGGACTGTTGTTAAAAACTTGTAAGAAAGGAGATCTTCTCAAGTGAAACATGAACTGCAAAACAAGAACCACTGTTTTGAACTTTGACAGATCAAAAGGATAGTTGTACAAGGAGAGAAATATTTTCCACAAACTGCATGAGACCAATGCCACAACAAAACTGAATGCCAGCTCCTTTAACATTTTGAATCTCTACAGGCACCTTTGCTAGTTTTTACAGACTCCCATGACAGTAAGAGAGGTATCAGAATGGGTAAACCTACAAAGCAGCTTTGAAATGCTTCCTTTACTCTAAGTTCTACCATTCCTATGAGGGAGGTTGTTGTTCTACAACTAAGTTACACCACATGAACAGAAAAAGGAACATTAGCCACAGCAAAGTCAAACCTTGCTAGTAAAAGCATATGCTTTCATTGCTGAAACAAATTCTCCACCTGCTGATTTAATCTCTACACAACACTTAACACCTACAGATAGATTAGTCTGAAACAAAAATATCATGGAAGTGCGTGAAAAGTCTAAAAGTGAAGTATCTGGAGCTATCAGAAGGGAGAAATTTATCAGAACAGATTATTAGCAAAGAAACTATTTGAAGTTTAATACAGTCAAGGTCAAGTTCACTTCACCGAGAAGTGTGTTATGGTCAGTACCATAAATCATATGGAAGAGAAACAATAAAGCAAATCCATTTATTTTCCTCATGTTTTCTGAATTTCTTCATTAGAGCAGCCCTTTTAAAAGTGTTGTCATATGAATTACAAATTCAGGTGAGATAAGGATTTTATTGTAGGAGAAACAAAAGATATACATAGTTAAGACATTTAACTGTAAGGGCAGAGGACAAAAAAGGACACAGCAGCACAGACAACAGAAATGATTTTCCTAATGCCACATGCCAGACAGTAGTAAGGGGGCAGGGGGTCTGTTCATCCTGATATGTCTTATTGTACGCAGTGCTACAAGGACTCTTTCTTCACTGAGCATTCTCTTCCATCCCTATAGACAAACTCACCTGTGGATAAAGTGAAAATGTTTCTGAAAATCTGAAAGAGCTTGGATCATCCTTGTGATATTCTCCAAATTTCTGACACTGGAGTAAACAAGAAAAAAAATCTATATTAAGAAATATACTTGTATGGTCATGCCATTACTGTAAGTTTGGTTTTAACAGGCACATGACTTGTGGTGCTTGCAACTTTGAGAACAGACAGAAACCTAGCAAAAACATTGACACAAGTTCTCTTTTTAACAAGCAGTGATTTTCTTGCATATGAAGCTTTAAGAACTTTGTGTGTTAGTTGTGTTTCCCTCTAAAATCACTAAGCAGACTTAGATGATTAAACAGCCCAGAAGAAATTGCTTAGAATTATATTATTATTATTATTATTATTATTATTATTATTATTATTATTATTATTATTATTACAAATAAAAATTAAAATACATTAAAAACACCAGACAGGAAATTGAACTTTTGAAAATAAAAAAAGAATCCATATGGTTTTCTAGATACTTTGCCTACTTTTTTTTTTGTTAAAAATATTTACTCTACAATATCATTACAGACAACAGAAAGAAGAGAAAACTATAATTTCTGTTAATCACATGCTAAAATTTCTCCTAATTCCTGGCAATTACAATATGTTGAAGAAACCAATAAATGAAAATACATGAAAAATAAACTGAAAATACACACCTGCTCTTTTTTAAATTTAAAATAGAAAATCTTTGTTAATTCTGTATAACCTCATGTGGAAATTAAGCATTCAGTTTATTTTTTACTTTTATTTTAAAGTAAACTATCACTGAACAGTATGTGTCTGCAAGAAACCCATCTGAGTCATTCAGTACAGCTCGTTTTACCAGTCGTATAAGCTGTCTGTCCAGCCACCTCAGCACGTCAGGGCCCTCCTCTGTCTCTGCCCTGTACACTGCCAATCTAGCCATGAGAATTGCAGCAGCTTCCTGGTCAAAAGATGCAGCAATATTTTGAATCTGGGTCTGTGCATCTGCCCAGCTGCAAAATAAAAATACAAAGATTTGCATCACAGTGAAAGGAAAAAATTCAACCTGAAAACATCCCTTCAAAATTAAGGCAAAGAAACATTAACAGTTAGCAGTTTAACACACTCATGCTGAAGCTTCAAAAAATCTACTAGGCAGATTAAATAAGCAGCCTCCCAGTTAACCGTTCTTTAATTAGAAATGTTCCTTATTTGTACAGATGCCATGCAACCAGTGAAATAAAATATAATGTCACTAATAGAACAGGTGCCATATTTTTTTAAAAAAATAATGATGAAAGGTTGTTACAGAAATCACCATCCACTAATCTAATCACACACTCCCACATTAGCAATTTTCTTGTGCATTTTGCCAGTTCTTTTTAATTTATAGAGTAAACTACTAATTAGACCTTTCATCAGTCACCAGAATTCTACAAATACAACTAATTAAGTTAACAACATAGTGTTTTCAACAATTAGGGCAATGCTTTTTTCAACAAACTGAATTTTCCATCTAATTAACCAAGCAATGATCTCCTTCTGCTTAGAGTAAATAAATGTCACTGGACATTGAAAAATGTATTCAAAAGATTAAACATCATGTCCTAAAATTGTGAAGTATATTGAATCAAGGAAACTGCAGGTAAAGGTTATACATGGAATACCAGGTATTTACATCCCTCTGAACTGCAGTTAGCATTCTCCAGCTCAGTTTTGAAGTGATTTTTGCCATTCCCTAACTCCAAACATACCCTCAGTTTAGGCCACAGAATTTCATTCACATCTTCCCCTTTGTCTAAAATCACTTGGCTTTACTCAGAGCACTCTTTCAATAACATTATACAGCCACTGTAACCTCTCAGAGAAAAAACAGTCCACAGGACAAGAGAGGAAACTGTCTCAAACAAAACAGTGCTTACAAAATCTACAAAGTAAAAGGCATATACATAGATATACACCCTGACTTTTCAAAAATTATTCACCACAAGTAAAACATACTTTCTGGCAACTGTGGTCACTCTGATACGTCTCTGTCCACTGGAATGCTGATACTGAGTCACAAACTGGATTGCACCACGTCCTCCTTGAGGAATGGGAGCATTGTGCTAAGTACAAAAGGAAAAGAAAATTAAAGAGAATCTCAAGATTTTACAGTATGATTTGAAAATGTATAACTAATTACTAGAAATTATTTCCAATAGATGGCCCGAGTTATATTAATGCATCATCTGGTGCTTTTGTTACATTGAGTACCTTTACTACACACAGATAATCAACTTGGAGGTTGTTCAGGGGTGTTAGAAGCAGTTGCTGGCTTCACCAGATATCCTTAAAGCAACCAATGCTCTCTCCTTACATATGCCCTTCCAGAGACAATGTTTTCCAAGGGGCCATACAATTTCTGGTTTCACCACATTCTAACACCATATGACTCACTGGAATTACAGGATAAGAAAAGTGATACTAATCTAAAATGTTGATCAGTGGATCTCCAACAGCACTGTCAAAACAAAGATTGGAATCCAGGTGTAAACTGAAATTTTGAAACTCTGCTCAGTGAAAATACAGGCTAACATGCTATATAAACAATTCAAAAGAGAAGGAGAGTTGAAAACAACTATTACGCTAAATAATTAGGGCAGTTTTAGAGCTACCAATAAAATGGGCCCAACATAAATATACAAGAAGTAAAATCAAAACCTGGCTAATATAAGTTCAAGTTTTCAAACCTTTGCATAAATAGCAAACTATGAAATACAGCACACTAAATATATAGAAACTACGGTCGGCTCAGTTCCTAAGCTGCTTCTTGAAATAAGAAATGGTGTGAGAATAAGTACCACACTTGCTCCTCCTATTTTCATCCTCTTTTCCCTCAGGGAAACAGGAAATCAGACTATTTGTCCTTCATGCATTTCAATGAAACCAATCTTTGCTTGCAAATACTGAGCAATAAATTAAAATGTAACAGGATGTAGTAATTACCTTGTAACTAAAACATCAGAGAAATACTGTAAAGCACTTTTAAATACACAGATTACAGCATTTCCACATAATGCAATTAAAATATATTCATTAAGTAACACACTGAAAGAAAAAATTTGAGTTAAGAGATTATGAACTCAAATCAAAATCTGTAGAGTTCTTTAGTGCTCATTGTCACAAACAAGAAGATTAGCCCATCATTAAGCAGTTACTGTCCACCTCTAAACTTTGACAACACAAAATGGCAACATCATTTTTATCCCTGCTACTGTGCTTGGGGGAATCACATAAAAATACAAGCTTCAACAGTCACATAAAGTAAGATTACTCTGTTTAGTACACAAGTAGACAAATATTTATTACCTGGTTTACCACCTCAAAGTACAGTGCAAGTGTTGTAGTAGGATTAAGACCACAAATCTTCCACTGACAAGTGCCTCCTGTTCCAATCTCCTGCAGAAAGATTTTGTAATACTTTTATAAACCAGAAGTATTTCCTTGTTTATGAAATACAGCCTGCAATAGCCATTATAGGTAACTGTTTGCAACTACTCTCACAAGCTTTCTCCCTGCTCACTCTGTCACCTTCTCAGACAAACGCTCCTGCAAAGCAACTGCAGAGCTGGATGTAGGAATAATAAAAAAAATTTTAAAAAAAGAGATTGTTGTTTTAAATAATTAATACATTAGAAAGATCAGAAGCTGGCATTAGAAAAATACTGAAAAAGCAAGTCAGAAACAGGAAAATACAAGATTTCACTTAAGCAGAGGCAAAAAGCACATGCAAGTGGAATGACTGTTCTAAGGTGCAGCAGTAAAACTTTAAGCAATAGCTTACACACTGTATTTTACTTAGTTACACAGTCTCTAGTAACTAACAAGGTAACTGTACACAGATAGCAATGTATTTCAACTGACAATTCCTTTTTGCCATCAAAGCAACATAAATATCCAGGAAAACCAATTAAAGTAACCCATCATCCATAATGGACACAGGGGAACCAAATAAAACTTCTAAGGAAAACTATGCTGGCAATATTGTCACTGTACCTGTACTCACTTGCAAGCATTTTGGCTAGAGGACTGGTCCAGTTACCACTGAAATGAGCTGCAGGTACTCTCATTTTATTCATATTCAAATTTGAATTCAGATAATTTCAACAAAAAGGGGTTTGGAATAAAAATTAATCATGATATAACTGCAAAGCCAACAGACAATCTCACAAGTGAATCTCTACTACCTCCTATGAAATAGATATGTAGCTTAAATAAGGATATGTACCTTTAATTTATTTTTGGGGTTTTTCATTTTATTGCAATATATTCAATGAAATGAAAAAAATCTGTACCAGATCACCAAGAAAAAAACTGTTGGATATACTGAATTTTTTATATTCACAAAGATGTAGTCATAAATACAAGGAAAATTTAGGAATAAAAGTGCTTGATTAAAGGCCATTTGTGAGCATTTTCATACTGGGAAGTGCTCTACTATGCAAATTCTTAGGAACAAAAGTGAAACTTCTCAAATATAAGACATTTTGGTCACTTGCAGAAATTGGTTTTTTTATTGGTAATCAAAAGTTAGTAATATTAAATTATAAGAAAATATATTAACATTTAAGTCTAATATAATTTAAAAGTATTACTTCAGGAGCCTACAATAGCTGGATCTTTCAATTATTTAATTAAATGTGCATTTGGTGAAACAGCTACAGAAATGGGAAGAAAGAGTTCAGATAAAAGGGATGTTTCCAGTCTTGTGTCCTCCTGTTCTGTCAATTCCTTCTAAAAAACGTATTTTTATGGTTCACTTTGGATAAAAGGACACAGCTCTGATATTAACAATAAAGCATGCTAACTCATTTTCTACTTGGTTTCTGCTACATCATCATATAACTTTTGTATAATAATTTTAAAGCAACTAAATCTAAACAATCTAAACAAGTGGACAAATCTAAACAAGTAACAAGGGATCTGCAAGGTCTAGTACAATTGAATCTGACTTACTAATGAATGTAAGTTTGCACGTATTTAATTGAAAATTGGTCAAAAGTGACCATTTTGTTTCATTTATGGAAGTTTCAGCCTCTCTTCAAATCCAGAAATCTTAAATTCTGTTTTTCCATAGAAGGACATGACCTTTATTTTCAGCAAAGTTTACTTACATTTTCTGAGACACAAGGTCCCTTAGAGTTGAGAGAGACACAGGGTCCAATCGCTCCAGAAATCTTTACTTCTCTTGAAGTCTTCATATTTCAAATAAAAATATACATTAACATCCCATGCTAAAGAATTCAGTCTCATTTTATTGTTAGATAATTAAAATCTCAAGGCATACTGCATTACTGATAGCTTTGGGAAAGGTTATAATAATGCTTGATACATCTGGAGACACTTTTCACGTGCTCAGTTTCTACACTTAATTATGTTTATTTGCCATACTAATTAGTATATCTTAACAGCATGAAGATAAATTAAAACATGGAGAAAAGCTGCTTGATTTATAAACATAGGAGCCTAGAAAGTATACAGGGTAATGTTTCCTTCCTAATGAAAGGATTAAAATTTCCAAAGGTAAGATTAAGACTGAATACTTTGTACTGTAAGATAAGCCTACACACACTTGATAAAGAATTTCTACTCTATGTCCTAAACATATTTAGCTAAATTAGTTACTTATGTTCTTCCAATGTCACTTTCCTCTTTGAAGTGATCTGTGTATCCCTCTAGAACTGGGGCTCCATTTTTACATTTTCTGGGATCTTTCAACAAAATTCACATCAATATGTATACAAAAAAAAAGGGTTCAACTATTTGTCCTATTACTAAAAATTTAAACAGAATTTTACCAAAAATGAAAATAGTCTCATGTTCTTCTACAATATGAGATTGGAATATTTTTCAAGAAACATCAAGGAAGGCAGTGCTTGAACCTACAGGATATTCAGCTCTAAGCTTATCACAATGGTGGAGGCAAAAAATAATGTTGTTAAAATGCCAGAATGGATTCTGGTAAGGATGGAAAGTGAAAGAAAATTTGTAATGGAGTACACAGAGAAACTGACTTACCTAAAACCAAGAAACCTCTGATATCAAAATCTGTACATTCACATTGAATGCAAGATTAGAAGAACTACCATTATACCTAACTCACATTTACAGAATCCCAGAACTACAGAAATATAGCTAGGACTATGTACAGCTATGTACAGCCCAAACTTAATAGATCTGTTTAGCATGTTCCCAAAAATTCCTTAAAAAGGCAGATTCCAGTTTGTAGCCATCCTATTGCATTTTTTCACTAACAGACTGCATTTTTGTATGCTTACCTTTATTTCTAATGTGCCACCAAATCCCATCTTAAATTGTCCTTGCATATCTTTAGTAAATACTCTCTGAAAAGTTTGTTTGAATAATGATGTATTGAACGAGTCTCCCATTACCATGTAGCCTCTAGACAACAAAACAAACAAACAAAACCCATGAGTTAAATTAGATTATTTATATACTTCATTTTTATTAAAGAAACTAAAGACAATTCACTGTAAGACATATTTTTACCTTCTTAAAATAGACTAATGTTAAATTAGTATTTTGCTACAATGTTAAGGATGAAAGTTTGAAGTGAGCTCCTTGCCCTATGCATCTTAAGGTCATTATAGTATGTAACAAAATCTTTCACTGGAAAAATACTGTGGTGGACTTACAAAACTAAGGATGTCTCAAATCCTGACATACAAAGTCTTTACTTCTCATAGTTATTATTCCACACATTTTGTTCCATGTATTTTGTGTAGTTCATTCATTACTTCAGGGTTAAAACTATGCTCAAGAAGCAGGATTTATTTTTATGCTTAGCCACATTCTGGGGATGTAACTGCAACAGTTACCACTTGTCATGAAATATACCCTGCCATTAGAAAATATAAATGGGAGATATTTTCAGTCATCAAAAAATGTTAATGAAAACATTTTAGTAAAATATGTCAATAGGTCAAACATTACACTCAAAAGAAGTTTCCACATGGATACTAAAAAATAGAAGAAAACAGACACAGATAGAATCAGAAATTCCTCTCCGTATGCAGGATGTAGCCAAAACCAAAATAGAAGAGCTGTAAGAAAAATAAACAAACTATACATTAAGGCTACAGAAATAGGGTGAGTCAGAAGAGCAGACAGAAAGAGCAAAACAGTATAAACAGAAACACAACTCAAGTTTGTTTGATGCAGAAAAGGAACAGGAGTCAAATATGCAGGTAAAATCAAATTTAAACATAAATATCCTGAACAGTGAAAGCTCCCGAGCTAAGGCTATACACACAGCTCCGAAGAGAAGCAGTGATTAGCATGGCCAAGCTGGCCTGAAACTCAGGAACTGTACCTGACAGTCATCTAAACCACTAGCTGAACCTATATATATAATACATATATAGATTTTATATATATACAATATATAAAAGAATGGCATAAGTAAGACTGAAACAATAACAGAGGGTTTTATACCACTCCGAAGAACATGAAAAATAAGGACAGGTCCTTATCTTTACTGAAACCTTCCACTTACACAGATACACACAGAAAAACAGAAACACAGATATGTTTTAAACACGTGTATCTGATAAATTGTTTGTTTAAAAGACATCCATGTTATTCAAGCCTCAAAAATATCACATTAAAAGAAAACAGCAAACCCGCTTCTGATTAAATCAAAAATTGTGGTGACAAATCTGCCAGAGGCCGAGATATTCTAAAATTCCAGTACAAAAGTAGCCAACAGAGTTTGTCTGTTTACACTTTTCTTTTTTAAATAGCAGAATTGTTTGCAAGTGCTTCATGTTTAACAATTTTAAACTGCATCTTTATATACTACAAAAAAAACCAAACAGACACATACCCAGTGTAGTTGGGACAACACTTCATCTCCAGCAGACCAGTCTGATCCAATGCACATGCATAGATGTCAATAACATGACCATTTGTTGCAGCTCGATTAGCCAGGGCTTCAAAATGCTAAATACAAGATGAAAATACAGTTCATAGCAATTTACAATGTGAACTCTCCTCATCTTCACATTAAATCCTAAAGTCACAAATTTTTTCTAAAACATTATCAGATTCTATTCACATAAAAGTATATTTTTCCTGAAGTTAATAAGACTGGAATTTTCAACACTTGGGGGTTTTTTCCTGATCAGCTGAGAGCTTGACTGCCACTAAAGAGAACAATGGTTGCTATTTAAACTAGAAAATTTGATCATCTTCCTTTTAAACATTGTGTTTAGTGCTAGATCCAGCACAGAACCGAATTTACTATTCTAATCTCAAGTGTCTACAATGAGAGATGCTTGCAACTGAGCTAATTGTTTAAGCTCCCATTATAATCAGTCAAGATGACTTGAACAAGTTTTGGATGCAGTTCACCAACCCAAATGTACATTTTAAATTAAATTAGATATGACTAAACTCTACAGCCTAATCCTTCCCCAACTTTTTTTATAGGTAACTTCAAGAGACAGTTTTGAGCGCCAGTCTTAGAAGCACCAGCCTTACAACACTAGATACACCATTTGGTCACATAAATTTCTGAATTAAACCAGAGAAACACTCCAAATAATTTTAATGTGAGCTAAACAAGTCCTAACTCAATATTCTGACATTTCTGAAGAAATTCTTGAGACATACCACTATTCAGAGCCCGGTGAACAAAACCACACAATTCCCACCTCTTTATACATTTCCTATTACTAACAGCATTTTGCAGTGCCCACCAATTTAAATGTTTACTTTAAATGTTTACTTTATAGGAGATCCCATGACCATCTCTTACCTTAGTACCCTTTTTAACATATTTTGCATTGTCTTTTTCAATGTCATGCCATGATCTTATAGGTAACTTCAACTCATCCCCTACAACCATGCCAGGTCCCTGCGTTGCTGGTCCTCCAATGAACATCATTATGCGTGCACCAGTATTAGGGAAAGTGCACTGCAGGAAATAAAAGACAAAAGAAAACCTTTGGGTTTTGCTACAAACTGAACAAAAGAATTAGATATGTGGACATTTATCACACTGACAGGATTGTAAGAATAACAGCATTTTTTCACTCCCAGAAGTTAACTCTGCCAGTAATTCTAAGTCTCATTTTTGCCTTATTAAAAATATGTAAATGTCTATGAAATTATAAGCATGTAAAGGATGAGATTCACCAGAATCATCCTACAAAATTCATACACATCAATTAGAAATGTTTTTACATATTGATTGTGGAAGCTTTTCTGCAAGAAAATGATCTAGCTGTAGTTTAGCCTAGCTGCAGCTAAAGCTTTTACCTCAAGGAGCCCAACAGCTATAGACAGGGCCACTCCAGAGGAACGTAAGGGCCGTTTTCCTTGTGGAACAGGCCAAGGATCCCGCTGCAGCTCACCCAAAAGATCAGTAAGATTCATATCAATCTTCTGCACTGGTTGCAAAAATCTGGAAACAAATACATGGAAGTCGTTTAGATTTAAGTTATTAAATAAAAGTTTTATCAATTGCTCACTAGCAATATATTAGACATCTATTTGAGGTATCTAATTCTAGATTCTGGTCTGAATTCAGACCAGTGTCTCTGCTTCATCAAAATAAAGCAGTTTGGAATTACTACATACACACTCAGTTTAAGAAGCTGAGCAAAGAGCTTGCAAAACTGAAACTTGCAGACTTACAGATACCACCAGTATCCAGAAAGAACTGTAACTAGTCAAAAGAACAAAGCAGATGATGACGTATGAATTCCAAAAAGAAACGTTTCCCTGCTTCAGCAACAATCAAAGATCAGGAGAAAAATTAACACAGTAAGATCTCTTTCATGCTGCTGCAAGTAGTTTACATATGCAGCTAATTTTTAGACGGCAGAGACAGCAAAACCATCTTTCAATAATTTCATAAATTTCTTCTGCCACAGTGAAATACATAGGAAAATCAAACACCAGCCTGCAATTTCCAAATGAGAGACCAAAGGGGAGGGAATAGGAATAGAAGAGGGAGAAAAAAGGAAGGCACAACTAGCTATCTGCATAAGGTATCTTATGCAGTGTTAATATCTATTAACACTTTCCAGCACACCGGTCAACAGAAGAATCATTATTATTATTTATGTATCTATAACGTACCTCTCAGAGCACTTGCAAAAATCATCCAGATAATATTACTATTACCCATTGAGTCAATTCTTCCCAGTACAAACTGTAGGAAAGAACTGTCTACTAGTAAATTTGTGCCTGACCAAGAAGTTTGGCTATCAGTTTATTGTTTTATTGATCATAAAACCTAGGTTTTCCAGTACATTAGTGGGGTCAAGGTATGTGTTTTAAGATATTTAAAGTAGATTACCTGTTAGAAGGTGGTGGCTGCTGCACCTGAGGACCCCGACCGACTTGTGCAACAGCTACTTTTGTAAGCCCCAGCATTTCCTGTCACCAAATAAATAAGATTTTATTACAAAATTTGTTTGCGGACTATTTCACCATTAGCACCTTAATGATTTCTTTTTGTTTGCTTCTGTTCATTACCTGCAGCTGTTTTGCAGAGAGGTCCTTTGTTCCTCTGAAGACATAACTTTTGGAAATTCCTTCACAGCCAAGCTCATGAACTTGCACCATTCGGCCAAAGGTAATGAGACCTACTAATGCTGTTGGTGGCAGGAGACTGAGGGACATTTGCATGGATTCCTTCAGAGCTTGCAAGTCTTCATCTTCCATGCATGTATCCACAACATAAAGAAATATCAAAGGCATCTGAGGACCACGCTTTGAGAAACAAAATTAGAATCATATGAAAAACAAGTCTTGCAATATTTAAAGGATCAAAAATGAACAAGTAAGGCGAATCTTATAAATGTTGCAATTTTAGTCATACCAGTAATGTCAAAGTTTCATCTAACTTAACTCTCAATTGGTAATCAGGATCCAGAACAAAACCCCCACCAAAGTGAATTCTGTACAAAAAGGAAATGCTTACAACAGAAGAAAAGAAAAAATCATTTCAGGATATCAAGTAATTTTGAAGCATGAGCCAATTATATACATCTTTTAAAATACAATGACCTCTTACTGCTCCAAGTAAATATAACAGTCATAAAACTATTCACAATTACAAAAGATTCTAGCCTGATGACAGTCCATGGCATTTCACCTCCTGATTTTACTCTAGAGATCGTCAGTACTTTTTATTCTATCTAAACTAATTTTGCTGTAGTATGAGCAAACATTCAATTTACTTTGCATTACAGCAGTCAGCAAAAAGTACAGATTCTGTTCAGTATTCACCCTTCCTTTCATTAAAATTTGTCACACTTCAGTGAGGATTCAGATTACAATTTGCCTCACTGAGGTCTTACAAATTTTAATCCTCAAAAATTAATTTAGAGGTTGAAAATTTGAAATTCCAAATGTTTGCAATTTAGAGGTTTAGGCCCATTTTTTATTCCTATTCAAGTAACCTCTGTCCTGAAAAAGGATGAATATTAAAATTCAAACACCTGAATTGAACATGTATTAGCTGTTGTCTCTAAACCAGACAGCACTCATCATTCAAATACAAACTTAAATTCAAATGGTTAATGAGAGATAAATGAACAGTAACATCTGAATTGAAATTACTTCAGCAAGCAACAGAGGTAAGCAGCCTCCTGACACAAAAACAAATTAAATTCATTGTAAAGAAACAGACATAACAGAAGTATCAACTTTAGAGAAGAACTCTCTTTTTCTTTTGAAACCAATCTTATAAGCCATCCTAATGCTCTTATAAAATATTTTCCAACTGATGGCATCAATGTTCAATAAGCACATAAATACTCACGGTCACTAAAATAGAGTGAAGAAGCAAAATGGAAATTTATTCTTTTTGTATATTGCAAGGTGCTGGATGTTCAATATTCTATTTGATGATTTTACCTGTACTACATATTCAATGCTGGAGAACTGAGGCAAAAGTTCAGCTGGCTGATTCATTTCAGATATGCCAGCGTAAGTAGGAGGAAACTGCAAATAAAAACACAGAAATTAAATGTAAATAAAAGACTGTAATTTCTACAAAGGAAAAAAAAAACAGACATTTTTCAACAGATATTTACTATTGCTATTATGGAAAAAATCTCAATGCAATGCCTGAAGATAAAATTGCACACTCATGCTCTTGCTGTCAATTTCAGTTTGCAACTGTAATTTGAAAAATCAAGGTTTTCATTTCACTTCATAAAAAATATTTTCTATATATTGCATTTTTTATTTTTCTTACCTGGTTTCTCTGGTAACAAAAGTTGCAAGCCCAGAGTTTCGCTCGATAATCCACTTGGCTATAAAAATACAACAGGTAAAGTTTATATAGCATGAACAATTCATTTGCCTCCACTGTCCCTAGAATACATGTCTTTAAAACTCGAAAAACACATTGACTTTTAAAAAGGTTCTTTCAAATATACTTTCTCCTAAATACCCACATTACAAACAGAAAATGGAGCCTTACACAGATGTATCAGGTAAAGTATTGTGTTTAGGGAGAAAGAATGGTCTTCAGGAAAAAATGCAAATAAGAAATTTAAAAATACAGACTCAGCACCTATATTAGAGCCTTTGTCCATGGTTTTCGCATATCTTTTGAACTCTCCCTACCTTTGAATTTTTCATCTTTTTCTGCCTCTATTAGCTGCCAGAGTGTGGGACTAGACTGAATATACATTATGCCCTAAAAAAAAACAGGTTCCAGCATGACAGCTATCTCTGTAACAAAGACAAGATTACTTTCAAATTATGAGTCTACTCCTTTTGTCTACATTTTTACTAGTAATCAGAAAGTTAAAAAAAATGTGAATTCTATCTTCACACCACAGAGATGTTTTAAAGTCCTAATCACATCTTAAGGGAAAGTCACCTTAATAGTTCTCAATGTACACTTTTTGCTATTACATCTTCTCCTGCCTACAAGAGCAAAAACATTTTTAAAATATCATTGAATCTTCAGGTAAGTCCCAGCATGCTCTAAACAAAACATAGATCTATTGCTATCTAATTGTCTTTACCAGTTATAGAGGCTGCAAATTACCTAGCCTAAAGTGCCACACAGGCTTCTAAAGTCTCATCAGATTGAGCCTCTAACCACCCTTTCAGGGGAAAAAAAACCAGTCATTACTAGCACATACAACACAGGAAAAATGTACACAGTTCACTGTAATGTTGGCATCTGACTCTATAACTTTGTCTTTTCATTGCTTTTCTTCCAGCCCTCAATAAAAGACAATGCTTCTGAAAAAGTTAACTTCAACTAAGTCTGACTCCCAGCATAACCAGCCACTGAGGCTGTTTAATACTGAAACACAATTTTGCATCTGCTTTGAAGCTGTCTTTTCTCCCAAGCAGGGACAAGTGATTCATAACATTAAATTTATTCTACAGGTTCTCTGACATCATGTCTACTCTCTATCAATCAGGGCCTTTGCCTAGCAAATTCCAACCTAGAAATTATTCTGCTTCTCTTCCATACTTCTATGACAGGAATGACATATGAAACACCTCCTCTGCTTGCAACCCAACCTTACCCATGACTAGTCCACAATCATTTGAGCTGGTGCCAACATCATCCCGAAGCTTGAACAGCTTTCTACCCTCTTTCATGCCTACTTCTGATGTTAACTAAAACAGATAACCTGCTTTGATCCACAGATGAACTAATGTCAGTAATAAACGTAGTTGATTTCACTTGGAAATTAACTATACCAGGGTGCAACAGTTCAAAAGATACAGTACTGTAACGTTTTACCCAAGTCATTTTCCAGAGGCAAAATGCAAGAATATACTAAATCCCAAAATGTATAGTTGCAGAAAAATAACATACCTAATCAATACTAAGTACATTGAAACAACTCATTAAATGAAAGCTACGTTATCAGTAAATATGTTACATATGCAAATCTATGTGCAGAACCTTCTGAGGCCTGCAAGTCTGCACTGTACAATGATGTGAGGAGTACTTGAACTTCCATGCACCAGATCTTGCACACAGTTCAGCTGCTCCCAAGATTCTAAAGCAAAGAACTGGAACAATAATATGCTTTAAGTTTACCATAAGGGATTCAGAACAGCTCGGCACGTGGTCCTACTGCACAGCACTGGCTCATACTGAATAGGAGGCAAGTCTGGCCGCTCTTTCAGGGGTGTGAAGAGGGCAGCCACAGGGACTACCATTCTTGTAGCTTCCAGGCGACTTGAAGGCCAAACATTCCAGCTGAATCTAACTCCATCTCTATCCTCATTCTGCTGGATAAATTCCAGGAAGGTTGTCATGGTCAACTTCTCTCTAACACTAAAAGAAAAAGATAACTGTCAGCAGAACGTTGAGATGCAAAGACTTTTAACTACTAAATGCTGAATGCAGGTATATACATTCAAATACTGTAACTGAGTTACAGTCAATAAAACAAAGTAGAGCTTCTTAAATCCTAAAAGCAATGTGCAGAATTTTAAGGGGAAAGAAAATACTGCTGTATAAAATTTTTTAAGAGTTTCTAACCATATTTTTGGTATCTCATGATGCAGCCTACATGCACACATAAAGGGATGACAACATGACATTCCACAAGAGTACATTCCTACAGCAATGCTAGGAAGTAACTTTGTAAGAAATACAAGTGCCTTATTCCAATATATTATGTACCAAGAAGCACTTTTCAACAATTCTTTGAATTCAAATTTACCATTTTGGCCATTGACTTAAGGCTTTCAAAATGTTCTGCTATGATTACTCAGAAGCTGGAGAACTGGGGAGCACAGACACATCTGAAAAGCTCAACAGGTACCTCTGAACATCTGGTAAAGTCAGCAAGGAGCACTTCCTCCCTCCAATCCCAAACTCCTCAGCTATATACACACTGTTCCAGAATATCTGCTGCATGCTACACAGTACCTTTTATAAAACATATAGCACAGGCTTTTCCAGGAACTAGGATATCTAAACTCACGCTCCTTAATAATTAAGGATTTACAGTAAAAGCCTACATGAACCACCTAAAAGGAAGTAGAAATACTCCTAGGTCTCAATTTATACTGTAACAAGTTACAGTAGAAGAGCTATTATAAATGCTGAAACCCTCCTGAATTGGAATTTAAATCAGGAATTCTCCCAAGCACACTGACATTCTTAGTTCTGACCTTACATACAGTAAGGAGACTCACAGAAACTCTCAATTTATCAAAACCTATTTCTATCTATCAAAATTATAATGGCATTGCACCTTTAGTTTCTATAACAGCTAAAAACTTTTCAAGTTATTTTAAAAAATAGCCTAACTTAACACTTTTATTCTAATTGTAACTTTTAAGAAAACAGAATTACAAAATACATAAAGCAAAGGGAAGTGCTGCATTTCACAGTTAATATCCTTAAGAAATAATCAACTGCCAATATTTTAATGGGCACGTCTTGATATTAGGAGCAAATCTGCTCCTAATGGCAATTACAACACAGGGAGCATGAGGGACTTTGTGCATAAAAGCATTTCCACCATTGCTTTTACTCAAATTTCCACAAAGCAGGGGGACAAAACTGAGCAAAAGAGAGAATATCTGGAAGTTGTAATTACTACAGAGAAATCAGAGACAGAAATAAACTCAGCTAAGAGAGGAAAGAACAGCCTGGCATTTGAAGAGGATATAGATTTTAAGAAATGTCTCTCCTAATAAATCAAAATCTATCCATGTTTTGTAAAAAAAGCTGAAAAATGGGATATTAATGCAAGAATCTGCACAATACAACTATCTCCACTGTAACCACAAATTAAATAATCTCTCAATTTAAAAATTATTTCCTGAGAAGACAGAGAAAATTGCAACTTAAGGCTATTTCAGCCATTCACTGGCAGCAACTATAGACTCACAAAATCCAGCTCCATGACTGCAACATGTCACACTTTCTGTCCTGGACTTCAAAGCGTTTTCTCCACATTTTGCTCGAGCTGTGTTTGAAATGGCTGTACCTGGATATTACTTTTACCACCCAGTTATTGCTCCTTAAAGGGCAATGTACAAACACCACTGTGCAATGACTAATCACATGCACACAGATACATAAACGACTTGTTGGATTTACTGTGTCAAATACTATTATTTTCTATTAAGTATGGATTTCCTATTCAGAAGGTAAAAGTGGCCAATAATCAAGTTCTCCTCCACCCTTTCTTCTATCCTTTTCTTCCTTTTCAAGTGCCAATAATGCTTACCTATTTCCCCACTCATCAAATATGGAACTCTTGGTCTGACAAGTTACATTCAGTAGCATTGTTACAACTATGCAGACACATTTTCTGAGATAGGTGTGGAGATGTATTGCATTATACAAGAACAACAAACCCTCCTGGCCTACAGCCTACACACAAATTTTGGATACCTAAATGCCACAAAATACACACTGCTCACCTCAGAAAACCTCAGAGAAGGGATTTTCAGAACAGGTGAACAGCAACAGTTCCCACTTTGGGATGTCACTGCAGATTAGGATATCCAAAAGAAACAGAAGCCCTTTCTGGTTTGTTTCCTTCCTCCCACTGCTATGGCTGAATGTACCTCACAACCCCACACCATGAGAATCTCAACTGTGTGTCGCAAAAGAAGCCACACTTGAATTGCATTGAGAGTCAGTCACTGGTTGAATATCAGCATCTTTAAATGTTTACACAGCAAAGATAAATATGTCCCAATGCAGAATAATCCCAAAATAATATCCCCTAATCCCTGCATACATATACAAAATCAAAACATTTTTCTCTACAGCACTGTAAGAGGTCCAGCATAGATAGGAATACATAAAGCAAAGGGAAGTGTTGCATAGATAGATAGAAATCCCTCATAGTACCATGTATTTAACGACCACTGAGTACAGCTCACTGCACACTTGTCTTACAACACGCCTATTCTCTCAGTTTATTAGGCACTAACAACCTGGTAAAAGAGATTAATAATAAACCCTTAATTAATTTTTTATGCCCAAATTACATACCAAATACAAATCTATTTCAGTTCCAAGAAGGAACTTAAATACACGAGCAAAATGGTTTAAATAATTTGTCTAAAACAAATTGCTGACATTTTCACCACTCAAACACAGTCATCTTCCAAATCTGCTCTCTCAGACCTCTTACTGAAAACTTTTTTTTTTTAAACAACCACGGTATGTGATAACCCACCTAAATTAAAAAATCAACACATAATCAAACGCAGCAGGGCCTGCATTTCTTGTAGTTTTACCTACACTGGAAGGCATCCCCATCAGCGGCAGAGCGGCGTTCGTACAGCAGAGCTCCGGGACAGGGGCACCACAGGCGCTACCGGAGAGTGCCGCCCTTTACCCCCGGCCGTGGAAAGGCCGTGCCCCGCCGGCCCTACCCGAGCGCCGGCACCCCGGCCGAGCTGGGGGCTGCTGGGGGCCGCTCGCCCGGCCCCGGCCCGACAGGCGCTCCCCGCCGCACCGGAGGCCGTGGGCAAGGCTGATCAGTGGCCGGCGGTAGCCCCGGACCCTCCGGCCGCCGGGGGCCCCAGAGCAGTTTCGGGCACCCGGAGATCCCCCACTGCCACGGAGGGGACGCGGGGAGCTCCCACCACGCTCGCTCCAGGTCCGGCAGCCGTGCGGGGCCCCGCGGCCCGGGGTGCCCCCCGTGCCTCCCAGCGGGGGGAGAGGGGCTGCCGCCTCTCCTCCCCGCGGCACCGCAGCTCCGCCGGCTCGGGCTCCCCGCGCCCTCCGCTGCCCCCTCAGCGCTGCCCTGCCCGCTCACCCGCGTCCCGGCCGCCGCCGCCGCTGCTCCCGCTGTGCTCGCTCTCCCCGCCCGCCCGCTCGCAGCCGCCCCGGCGCTGCCGACGCATCAACATGGCTGATGGGAGAGTCCGCGCCACGTCAAGGGGCAGAGAGCGGGGGCGGGCTGAGCTCCGCCGCTCCCCCGCCCCCGGGCCAGCCCGCCGGCCTCCCCGGCCACCGCAGCGGGGCCGGCGTCAGCCGTCCCGTAGCTCTGACGGTCCCTTCGCCGCCTTGCCGGCTCCTGCTCGCGTGTGTGTGTTCGCTACTCTGTTCGTCTTTCTTCTGAAGGTCGGTCGTCTGCACCTCGATCTCAAATCCATTCAGGAAAAAAGGCACCCCGACCACCGGGGGCAGTTTCGCCGTCTCTCCCCGCCGGCAGCGCTCGGCTCCCCGGTGCTGCGCCTGTGCCCGCGGTACCGGGGCTGCCTGCGGCCCCGCCGGTGGCTGCGCTGCTCTGGCAGCTGCTGCTCTGGCAGCTGCTGCTCTGTCCGGCACGGAATTCCTCGGGATCGAAAGAGCCGGGCTTCCGGCAGTCCTTGAGCTCACCCTGCCTGTTCCCATCTTCCACCATGTGTACTTATGGCAACTTTTTAATCTGGAATATTGTTTACATGTTTCTTCTGAGTGCCTGGGGAAAAAAAAAATACATTGAAATTATATTCCTGAGGGTTTTAGCCAGAAACAATCCTTTATCTTGTTAGTGTGGTCAATTTTTTATCCCCAAACTCAAGTTATAGGGACTCGTCAGTTTCAGGAATTGTTTTTAACAAGCCTGTCATGAAAGGCCAGAACAGTAACCTCCGTCTTTCCTGAGATGTCTTAGTGCAATTAATCCAGACATGGAGAAGGACTGAAAAACGTTCTGCTGATTGGCTACCATATCCTCCCTCCCTCATTGCAACTCGGAAAACATTCTGTGACCACCAAGCAAACACAAATTACTAAAACAACCTTATCCTCTTTTCTTCTATGTCAAATGTGATTATGATAGAATTTCTTTGCCATTAGCATCTCCAGTCTGGTTTACCAGTCCTCTTCAGACTAAAATCATGAACAGTTAAGCAACAGCAGAATTTACCGGAGGGATTTTAAATTTTCTCATCCACAAATCTCACTGCCATTTGTGGGAGAATTAACCAAGAGCTTGCCAATGACGTGTACCATCCTCACTCTGAACTCAAAAGAAAAGAAGAAAAAAATAGACCAACCCCCAGACCCCACAACACTTCGAACTTCAAACAGATGCACAGAAAGTGGCTCAGTGTTGTAATTTCAAAAGCATTCAAGTACCTTGTGAAACATTTTCAGAAAATTACCTACAAAATAGGCAAGACATGAAGTCTAAACTGCAGGATGAACTCTATAAATAAGGGAAAAAGAGGCAGCTGACAATTAAAGACACTCAAAGGGCAAGAAGGGAAAACAGCAAAGTATACTACTCTGAAAGTTTACTACAAATAAAATATATTCAGTATTTTTAATTAATCATCAGCACATATTTCATTACATAATAATTCAATGCTCTAAACTTGAAGAAAAGTCATGCAGCTGTTATGATAGTGTGAATGACAGAGAAAATCAAGGAGAAAGAAAAGAAGTAGAAAATAGATGTAAACTCATTTACTCATTATAAGAAAACATTTTGTTAGCTCCCCATATTCATATCTAGAATGTAGACTTGAAAGCATTTTAACTTTTCATAATGCAGAATTTATGTGTTACTTTGTTTTGTTTTGGTTTTTTTTAGCCAATGGGGCATATCCATTAATGCAGGTCACTCTTTCTTTGGAAAAGTACTCTTCCTTTATGCCTAAGCAGTTGAGGAAAAATATATGCATTTCCAGTTTCACTTTCCTCTTTCTCCACTGAGTCATATTTGCTAGCCATTGCATCAGCATTGTTGGTAAGACGTGTTAGGAACAATTTTATTACCTGTGGAAGACTATCTGCAATAATTAAAAATATGTTGCTTTGCTTAACAAGTATCAATGGGAAGTTCCAGAAAAAGTAATCTAAAGATAGAAAGTATATTTAAAGTGGATTTATATCAGTGGATTCTCTTTTAGTTCATAGTTCTGGACTTTACAACACATAGGAAAAATAAGTTCTGAATATTACTAAAGTATTAGAAAAGAACTTTATATAGCTGGACTCACCAAAGTTTTTGTCTTGATCATCAGCCTTCCCAGAGTTAGCACTGTGGGCTTAAGTAGGAAGTTTTATTTTAGTGGTGACTGCAATTGCTGCATACTCAACTAGGATGTTAGATCCGGGTTTGAGAAAAAAAACTCCCTGGTACACGTCGGTGCTTTTGGAAACACCTTAAAACAAACAAAAGCCATTGGAGAGGAGGAGTTAAGGTAGATGTTTATTTAGAACTACTGAAATACAGACTTGCAGGGGATTTAAAAAAATTTTTGATTTTTTTTTTAACTTATGTCAGAAGTATCTAAAACTACTCTGAAATATTAGATCTAAATAGACTTTGCATGCAGAACTAATTGGAGAGGTAATATACTGATGGACATTTTGTGTAACAGGAATTTCATAATACACAATGTAAACAATTACAGCATCATCCTTCTGCTTTTTATTTTACCCGGGAAACGATGCCCCTTTCTGCAAATGCTACCTTGCTTTCTGCCATGAGGATGCTCCCACATTATAGTCCTCAGAAAAACTCACATAACAGCAACTCAGGCCTTGACCCTTCCAGAAAGGGAACTCTGTGTAAATTTATAATCGTTAACTTCTATGTAACTGACTTTAACCACAGATCTCAAAGCATTTCAAGGAAGGGACAATTATGAATACTGGGTGTTCACAGGTAAAATAAGAGCGTACTAATGGGTGAGCTTTAAAGAACCTTTGGCAAAAACTACAGTGTATTAGAATAATGGCACAGAGCCTAATGAAGGACGTTATTAAAGGTTTACACCTATTCACCACAAAAATAGGCCTAGTTTGATGGGCAGTGAATTGGCAAACCCCTTTCTGACACTGCTTTTTGGCTGTATTTCCTTTATTCCCCTCCGGTGGTTTCCAGGGCGCCCAAGACGCCCGGAGCAGACCGTGACCCATCAGCGCGCACGGCCGAGGCTCCCGAGCGAGGCCGGCCCGCCCCGATGGCCCCGCGGCAGCACCGCCGCCCCGGCCGGGCCCGCCCCGCCGCTCTCGCGAGAGCAGCGGCACCGGGCGGGCTCTGCCGCCGGGGCGGCGCGGCCATGGAGCCGGGCATGGAGGAGCTGATGCCGCGGCTGCTGCCCGTGGGCGACTGTGACCTGGCCGAGGACTTCGACCCCACCGTGCCTCCCAGGACGCCCCAGGAGTATCTGAAGCGTGTCCAGTGAGTGGTGGCGCGGACGGGCCGGGGTCGGGGCCGGGCCCGTCACCTCTCCGCGGGAGCGGCGCGGCAGCCGGTGCTGCCCGGGCCGGGCTCCGTGTCCGGGCGCGCCAGGGCGGCCGTGGGGAGCTGCCCTTCGCCGGCATAATCGGTGTTTTACACACCTGCAGGAGGGGCGGGTACCGATCTCTTCCCTCTCATGACCGGCGACACGAATCGAGGAAACGACATGGAGCCGTGTCAGGGGAGGTTTGGGCTGCATATCAGGAAAAGGTTCTTCACCCAGAGGTGGTTGAGCATTGGAACAGGCTCCCCAGCGCAGTAATCACAGAACCAGGCGTGACAGAGTTCGAGAAACATTTGGACAGCGCCCTGGAGCACAGGCTGTGATTTCTGGGCTGTCCTGGAGTTCGACTCAATGATCTTGATTGGTCCTTCCATGCTTTTATGAGTATTTCAAAGACATCCGGTATGTATCAACCTGTTACAGGAAAGAAAAAATGCAGCCCACTTGATTCTGTTTTGTAGGATTGAAGCAGCTCGATGTCCTGACGTGGTCGTGGCGCAAATAGATCCCAGAAAATTGAAAAAGAAGCCGACAGTAAACATTTCAGTAAGCTTGAGAGCTTTTACGTGTTTTAAGAGGAAAAAAAAAGGGGGAAGATGCTACTATAATGATGTTTGTATTAATTTGGGGGGGTCATTGGCATAACTAAATAGCACTGCTAGATTCTAAAAGCATCTACAGAATTAAATGTCTGTGTTTGAAGAAACCCCTGCTCAACTGCTGGGTAACAGCAGTCTTACTAACGGATTAAACTGATAATCCCCATACTATTCAATATGCAACAGACTATTTTACTGTCTGAGGAAGTCAAATGTTGCATTAAATTTTACAATTATTTAATCATAAAACCTGCATATATTTTAGAAGAAAAATATATCCATACCTGTCTTTGGGTTTAAGTCTATATCTAGCATAACCATAGTAAGTACAGCTAAGCTTTACTAAAGTTAGATGAAATTCTAGCACCACTTCTTTCCTTTTGGGAAGAATATTTTATTGGAACTTCTCCTTACTTTTCCAACGAATCTGTTGAAGCAGATTTTTCCGTTGTTGCATTGCCTTGCCAGCTTGATTTTTAATCTATTTTCAAATAGTTTGCCTTTCTCCAATGACAATGATGTAATCTGAAATTTCACTATTAGATTTCTCAGAGAAAGTTTCTAATACTGATCTGACCTTGCAACTTCTGTCACCATTCTCTTCATCTGTCTCATCTGTGTGTAGTGACATTCTTAAACACTTGTATAAAGATTTTGTTTAATAACCCTTTCATGATAATCTTTAAAGAGGTTATATCTACCTAACTATCAAACTTAATTTTCTAGATGGTTTTATGGTCTTCTGTCTTCCTCACCTTACTATCTTGACAGGCAGAATGCCTAAGATTGATAGTATCTGTCACAGATAAGGAAACAGTGTCCTGTTTTTTATGAGCGGGGAGATTAAAGCAGAACAATTGCTGAAAGGAAGACATTAAGTAATTCTTCGATAATGTATTTTGAACACTTAGTTTTCCTCCTCATGTACATACGAGAAGAGTCAAACAAAATTTCTCTAAACCAGAATCTTAACTTGGCCTTGGATATGGTCATGAAATTACTTTTCTTAGATGAAGATTTCAAGGATATTATTTACCTGACAGTAAACATTTACTGATTCTCTTGTTCTTAAGGATTCTTCTTATAAAGCTCTCTTTACATTATAATTATTGCCAGTGTTTTCTCAGATTTCTGGATGTCAGCCTGCTCCTGAAGGATACTCTCCAACGCTCAAGTGGCAGCAGCAGCAAGTGGCCAATTTCTCAGCTGTTCGTCAGGTACAAGATAGTCTGTGAGGAGTCTTGCACTGTCTGGATAGAACATTTCTGTGCTTTACAGGGGATAACTTGATATCTAGTATAGAAGTGTTGTGATTTTGTAGCAGGATAGATGTTTATAGGCAAGAGTTTTAAGTTCTTGAAAGCTAATTGAGCATATACTGTGTGGCTTTTAAACCTCTGATAAAACTCTTGAGAGTCACATTTAAGAAATCCTCCTTCAACAAAAATATGTCTGTATTTAGGTTAAATGCTATGGTGTAGTTGAGGAAGGACAAAAACCCCTGTAATGTTATGCAGTTATATTAAAACACAGTGCTAGCAGGAAATGTTCTGCAGAACTCAACATGAACTAAGAACCAAGTGGATTCTAACCCATCAGGAGATTCATAAAGTCCCTTCATACAGTCAATTTAGGGACCTGTTGACAGACGTGGCAACCCATTATGAGGAGGCATACTGATTTGGTAAAACGTATTTGTAAGGTTGTAGAGTTAGCACAGACTTTAATCTTTCCTGATACATTTGCACCCTGTTCGAAGTAACACAAGAAGAATAGAAAATTAAGCAGTCTCAAAGTGTAAAGGTTCTAAGTTCAGCTAAGCTTTACTAAAGTTTTAAACTGAAGGAGGGTTGATTTGGATTAGATACAAGGAAGAATTTTTTTACAATGAGGGTGGTGAAACACTGGCACAGGTTGCCCAGAGAGGGATGGATGCCCCATCTCTCAAAACACTAAAGGTCAGAATGGATGGGGTTCTGAGCCTGATCTAGTTAAGATGTCCCTGCCAATGGAAGAGGGGTTGGACTAGATGGCCTGTGAAGGTCCCTTCCAAGCCAAATCTATGATTCTTCTATTCTCTATGCACAGTTCAAACAGAGTGAAATGGAGAATATAATAAAATGTAGGTAGAGGTCATTTGTGACTCCAGTGCTGCAGACAGCATGTTTACAGTGCATTGATGCTGCATTGTAGGAGTACCTCAGGTACTGAGGTGTGACCAGCCACGAGCTCATCACTAGCACTGAACTCTGCAGGAGCTCATGTACCATGTCTTTTGCAGGGAGGAAAATTTAGTGAAGGAGGAGATCTGTACTACTGCATCTACATTGTAAACAGTAACTGAGCTACCCCTCTTTCTGTGAGGGATCACACTGCATTCTTTATATTAGGCTTAGTCTAAGGTTTTAACAGAACTAAGGAGACTGACATCTAAAGGCTTATTCACCGAATAGGTATTTCTTTTATGCTCAAATCAATTGTCTTATCTGTGCCAGAATTAACACTGTAAAATATGAGACTATCCCAAAAAGTATTTAAAAAAGAGCATCAGAATTCACTTGTTCAACCACTGCATCAGCTGCTATTACTTTGAGCATTTTTAGTGGTCTTTTGTACAGCTGCAGGAACAACCAGAGTGGGAGACAAATTCCTTCTGCTACAGAACATTTACAAGCTCTCTACAAGTAACTGTTAAGAAGGCCAGTTTGTCTAGCCAGGTAGAAGAAATGTGCTAAGAAAGCACACTTGCCTTCTTTCATACAATTCTGTAGACCTCTGATACAGATACAGACCACTGTTAGGAAACAGGATATTGGCTTTATGTGTGCTTTTGGATTAAATCAAAGTGGGTTTTTTCTTAAGGTTGTTCTAACAAGAAAAGTCTAGAAGACTGTTAAAGCTTACTACATCAGCTTAACCTTCTGTAATAGACTTCAAAATGCCTTCAGCTTTAACATTACTTCCAAAATCCCAGCATGAGACTCTTAATTACATTTCTGCTAAGAGGCATGGGAATTATTTAGCCAGTTGTGCTGGCTACATATACATATTCTACTGATTTATAGAAAGTCATAAAATATACTTTTCATACATTTGTGGCTAGGATAAAATATCTGCAGAGTTAAACTGGGATTTGACTTTGTTTTAATTACTCAGAGCCTGAACAAGCACAGGAATCACTGGCGGTCACAACATTTGGACAGCAATGTTACTATGGTGAGTAGAATTCATAACACTGCTCTGTGGTTTGTTTTCCCAGTTATTGAATTCACAGTTAATCTTGCTTTATAATTGCATGCAACAATTTAAGTATTTTCTCCAGTGTCTTCAAGACACAGTATTACAAAGTTTTCATTTATTTTTATTTACTTCAGCCAAAATCAGAGGATGAGGAAGGCTGGAAGAAGTTCTGCCTCGGGGAAAGAGTATACTCAGAAATAGATGCACTATCTGATAATGAAAATTTAGGAATTGATTACTTGAAGGTGAGTATAGGACTTCTAGTTAGTTTTCAGCAGCTATTTTCTAGACTAACTGCCAGAAACAATCCTACTGTTTATTACCACTTTGTGCCAAGTAGAAAGTAAGCTCTGGTGAGCCCATAAAGTGCCAGTGTACATTCTTCTTATGCAGAAACCAAGTGAAGCAGGAATTGAGTCAATGTTTTCAGTCAAAATTTGAAGACTTCCTTCATCTCTTATCAGCTAAAGTCTTTACTTTGTTCTCACTGAACAGAATGGAAGCTTTCTTCATAGTCTGCTTTAGTATTTTGTTGCATAGTGATATGCAGATACCCTACAAATATGTTCTTTACTATGTCATTTTGTCAAACCAAAACTTTAACAAGTAACAGGAGACACAAGGTGCTCTGATACTTCACTGGACCTTCAACTTTCTTGAAGATACTTTTTTAATAAATTTCAAAGCTCAGAACAGACTTTCAAATCACTACCATTGTCTGAACATCAAATTAAAATCTTAGTATGTTCTAAATTAGAACAAAGATGTTTGTGATAATGTTTGCATTTTCCAACTTGCTTTTTTTCAGGTGGGCTTTCCCCCTTTGCTAAGTATTGTAAGCAGGATGAATCAGGTAAGCCTACCTCTTAGAATCATATAGTGACATTGCCTAAATCATTATGTCTCATGTTCTGTAGCAGAAGGCTTACCTATTTTTCTTTGCCTAGAGTAGGCATTTGTTTATTACAAATTCTATTAACTATACACTCAGAAGGAATGTATTCGTTATCTCACATTCAGTTACAAATAACTTTACAAGCAAAGATTTTTCATGACTAGTTCTGAAAGTATTTTGTTGTGTAGTTTCTCTATAGCCCATTTAACGTTTGAATTTTTGCTGAATACCCAATAGTTGCTTTACAATGTTTTTAAATTTCTCAGTGTTTTAAGTGCAGTTCTTCCATTTGATTGTGAACTTTTATGTACACTGCAAGGCTAGAAGAATCACACTTATCTTTCCTTTACTACATTTCCCACTTGCCACCATTATACGCAACCAACCAAACGGTCAGTGTGATGCTTCTTTCCTAATCTGTAGCTACTTACCCATAACTTTTCATTAACACAATTAATTCATTTCATACAAAGTTCTTTCCAAATGTGGTACTTTAACACTTACTTTACCCTTACATGTAACTTCAAACTGTAATAAATACTGTGGAGTAGAAATACTTTTTATATAATAAATCCTTCAGGTAGGAGAGCAGCAAAACAAAACATTGCAGATACTATATTGTCTCTTTCTGTTCCTCTTTTGAAGGCAACAGTAACCAGTGTCTTAGAATACCTGATAAGCTGGTTTGGAGAGAAAAAATTTACTCCAGAACTGGTAATTTTTAATTTATTCTAACTACTTGCACATGAATGCATTAAACAAAGAATAAATTGTTTGCAGTTTTCTATTAAATTATTTTAATTTTCTAAAGAGTTCTCTAGATGGTTGTATCATATTGTTACTTTCAAAACTTTCTTGATTAGATACTAAAATGAGTATTCACATTTGTTTTAGGAAGGCTAAAATTACAAAACTTAACAGATACAGACATAAAAAGTACTACCCAAACTCCCTCTGTATCCCTCCCTTTGTATCACTCACCCCATAACTTCAGCCACGAGCTCAGTGAACATCAAGCTTTAGGAGAGGAGAGATCCCAGCTGCTTTGGTTCTGTCAGGGTGCTGCACATTATTTACCAATACCTCCAGTTTAGTTTGGAGGCACATTACAGTGTGCTTACAAAGACACATTTAATTTTTCCACATTAAGCACAGACCAGAAGGCTTAGCTGCATTCATGTGGTGACAAATCAAACCTAAGAACTCCTGATTGACAGGCTGCATTTGGCCACAACTAGATTGACCAGCAGTGTAAGGGCACCACATCTACAGAAGACCTTGGTGGATGCTTCTCATTCCTTCAGTACCACAAAGAAAAAGAGTAATGAAAAATTACATGATGCTTAGCGTAATTTCACTGGTTTTTTTCAGTCACTTAAAGACCTTTCATGTTCTGTCCTTCCTTGTAGAAGACTGTTTTCTTTTTAACCAGTATGTATGTGGCAGAGAATGTGCACAATGACTTTTAGGTTAGGTCCGAGAATGAAGGCCACTAGACACTGTGATTAAATTATGAAGTTAGACTGGTACCAGAAATTAGGTTTGTAAGAATGCAGTAGAATTCAGAGATGTAAAACTCAAAGGACATCTTTTCACAGTGGTGCAAATCTTAAAGCAGATCTAACCACTAATTCCAAAAAGATCTGAATTCATGCATTCTGTCTTCAAGAATATTTTTTTCACAGATTGTGAAGTTAAACATTAATAGCCAAGTAATAGTTAAGATATTATTAAAATAATCCTTCTTTCAGACTATAATAGCATCAGCTGTAATAATTTCTATCTTAGCCAGCATTAAAAAAAATGCTAGGAAACCCAGGAGTAGGGCTCACAAGAATCTTATCTAGAGACACAGAACTCTCTACCATGTAGTGTCTAATGTGGTTTTGAAAATTTAATTATTGCATATAGCACTTCAATGCAGTTTTGAGACATACACTTCAGTCCTGCTCTATATAACATGAATTGCTTGAATCTTCAAGGAAACGCTTAGAATTCAAACTCTGTTATTTGAATCCTCACAGGGTAGATGGCTTTATGCACTGTTGGCATGCCTTGAAAAACCTTTGCTACCTGAAGCTCACTCCCTTATTCGACAGCTGGCGAGACGATGTTCAGAAGTCAGGGCACTGGAGGTAAGATTTAATATAACTGCACAGAGGACTTGGTGAATTTAGCAGGTTAGGAGGATCACTTTTCAGAAGTCTTAATAATTAATTTTTCATGTCTAAAGTTTGCTTGAGAATGTAGGGAAGACTACAAATACACATAGCATGTCTTGTAACAGCTTCTCTATTTGACACAGCTAACAAAAGAATTGCTGTAATATTTCTCTTTTCCAGGAGAGCAAGAATGAAGAACAAATATCAGCTCTGAACTTGATAATCTGCTTAGTTAGTAGGTAATGCAACTTATACACCTCAACCAGTAATCTATGTCCAGCATAAATGCATGATTATTTGTACTAACCTAAACCCTTTTAAAAGTGAAAGTAAATAAAAGTACCCTGGGCCAATGCAGCAAATATACTTAGCTGAAAGGATTTAAGATACACCTAAGAACAAAGTAAGCTTATTCCTGTCTTCAGATGAGCCCCCTGAACCATGAAGCCATGATTATGATAGAAACACTAAAAGAAGAGCTAGAAAGCAATGGGTCGGACAATTTGAAGTAAGGTATATGTTGCATTGGAGGTTACTTACCATATTCCACTTCATTCCTAGGTACTTTGATCAACGTGACCTGGCTGACGAGCCTTCCTAGGCTGTTTTGAGAACATCCAGTATTTTGCATTGCCACAGTACAGAGAGCATTATCAGAGTTAACAGCAAGACACTGCACTGTTCGGACCTGGAGTATTACACAATCCCTTCAGAACACCCTCACACTAATGCATTTGGGACAGCTGTGAATAACTTCAGCTGAGTTTTAGCTGAGATTGTCAGCGTCTCCAATACCATCATCACCATCATTGTAAAGTGGTAACAAGTGTCCAGCATCATCTCTCAAGCTCCTGTCTTTGTAAACTACATTCTTGGTTAGAAATTTCTACAATCTGAGTAATCTATGGACACTGCTATTAGGTGAAGTCTGAGGTTACATTACAAATTATTATTCTTTTTCTAACAGACTTATTGAGGACTTTTTTAATAAAACTAAAGAATTTTAAAGACTGTTCTTAAACATTGTGGGTTTTCTTACTCCACATTATTTAACAGCAGCCTTACTGTAGAAATCTAGAGCTAGGGCTGAATGTGTTTTTTCAAGTTTTGGTGCCTGAGTTCTAGCACTGTGTAGCAGTTGAACAATAGCCAGCATGTTACTGAAACAATTGTTTCAGTAAAACATAAACATTACTAATTTTTGAGTAGTACATTACAGAAGTAAACCATAGCTAGCAATTAAAAACAATTACATTAATATTGAATTTATACACAAGAAGACAGAATACATTTCCTTCTTTAGCCAGTATAGACAACCTTAGGTATAAAACATTCTGACACAAGGAACAGTTGCTAATTTAAGGGACAGGAGAAACTCCTGAACTATGCAAAAACAAGTTTTCTTCTACTGCCCCAAACTACAACCCTACAAAGGTCTCCACCTAGTATCTTTAATGATGTGTGAGCTGTTGGCTCACATGTTAGCAGGCTCCATCAAAGAAATACAAATGCTGTCTTAAAAACAGAGCAGGGATGCCCATGTCTCGTGACTAGCCAAGTTTTTGAGCCACAGAGGTGCAAAGTCCAAACCCCACAGTGAGAGGTTTGTATCACCCATTTTGCAGCCCTCCTTCCAGGGCTGCCTCCCAGAGTGAATGGGGAAAGGTAGCACTTGGGCATTCAAGTCAGGCAACACCACACGCATTCATTCCTTACTCAAATTTAGTCTTGGTCAGGATTTTTCTCTATTCTCAAACTCTGTCTCTGGTCTTCCAGGCTGTTTTGGTAATTGAAAGGTTTTGCTGAATATGTAGAGAACATGGTTTTTACCATGTATAAATTATTACTTTAGTATAGAATAAATTTCATACCAAGACACAAGCATAGTGTTAAGTTATTTCTATGAGCATTTATTATATATTTTGGAATTGTGCTGCACGCTGCTATAATTTACATGTTATATACAAGACTGAGCCAAGATACTGAATCCACATACAAAGGCTTTTTAAAGTAGATACCCAGATTTGAATGTGCTCTACATCTTCTGTATCATCACCTGAAATTTACCTGCAGGAAAAGCAGAGTCAGATCACATTATTACCATTAGAATTATTTCGCCAAGTAATTATTTTCTTGTAAATTTTTTTTCAAAGAAATAGTAAGAAACATTTCAGTCTTACAGTTTAATTGTAAGCAGTTGAGCCATTATTTAAATTTAGCATTAATTAATTGAGCCATTATTTAAATTTAGCATTTAAATTTTAATTCCATGCTGAACAGCTTCTCTCTTTTCTTTTTGTCTGTAAGTTGACCATGTCCAACACCACAGAAGTTTTGTCAGCTAAACCTAAAATTTGTGCTAAATCTGTGGAAACTTTTAATTGAGCAGCTTATATAGTTACAATGGTCTTTACTTATTAACATCCTAACATCCTTAATGAGTCCTATAGAGAAAGAGCTTGTGCAAATAACCTTCTGGACACACATCCTTACACATTTGATGCTTCTAAATGTAAATACAACTTTTTTACTTTTCACTCAACATCATGGAGGCTCATCCTCTACCAGTATTTTCTAAATACTAAAGGATATAGTAGCAAGCCATATCCTGAAGTTCACCTCGACTCCTATGGCCCAGCAATTCAAACAAATCCCACCTTGAAAAATGCTTATAACAGCAACACAGAGTCAGGAAAGTTACCAAGTGAGCTAATAATTGAATACTCCAAGTACTACTTACATGCAGGCATTGATGAAACTTCAGCTGTTACAATACTCTTTATTCCCAGATTTGATAGGCCTCCTCTGATTAGTCCACAGGTGAATGCTAAATACTGAATAAAAAGTTGCACTTCAAGTGAGTGTCAACAGTGAAGCTTGTTGATAAAGATTGAAAACAAGTACTCAAGAACACAATACTTGGACAACAGAAAACCATGGAGGTTTTGAGAGACTGTCAGGTCTCTAATAGATGAAAGCTCCAATATTTGGCAGAGTGGAGCTCACTACACAGATTATTCTCATTATTTTGTATTTTGAGTCACCTTCTCTTTCAACCTGTAGGAACTTAATATCCTTAAAACAATTATTCCCAAGACTTGGCTGAAATTAGCAACTGGTATTGAAGTCAACAAAGGAGAAACAGTCCAAGACAGCATTCTTGTGCAGGCCATACCTTAAAATACAAACACCTGCAGATACTTAAAATGTGTGTTGCAAAATAGAAGAAACATTTCACCAAACACAAAAAAAAAAATCCCAAGGACACAGCCAGCTGGGAGGACTAAGATCAAGAATTAAGAAACCATAAAATAGATCTGAATGCCCCATTTTTTAATCCACCTGAGCCAAAGTGCTCTATGATAGGTTTTGCAGAGGGACTGATTTTACCTGAACTATTACCATAACTCAGCATCTGCACTCAAAACTATTTTTAATTGGTGGAAGATCTTTCTGAACATTCACATCATCTCAGAACCTTGTTTTATGTAACAAATAGCATCTTCCAAATGTGTTTTGGGAATTTTAAAGAAAGTTTCTGAAAACACATACTTCCTGAAGAGAAAGAATCTGTGTGACAGTGGCAGGTAGTGGCAGACAAGCACTTGCACCAAGAAGTAACTCAAATGTAACAGCAGCAAGTTTCACAATAACCGAGACCATTTTCTGAACTATAAATCAAATCCACTGTTCTAAAACAGGATGCCTTTCTAAGAAGCACACAGGTTCTGAAGGCATATCTTTAGGTGCCCTTCAGAAGAGTTTGTATCTATTTAATTACAAAATGTAAAGTTATTAACAGATGAAGGTAATTAAAATGAAACTGGTAGACCCTCCCCCACATAGAATCAAAGAGTACCTTTGGTGCATGTTCTAAATACTGCTTTCCTGCAGACATTTGTGTCAAGAGACGGAATTTATTGTCTTGAAGGACGTAAATACCCTGTTTAAAAAGAAAAAATTGAGGGGCTTAGTTAAATGTGCAGTAATATAAACCCCATATTTTCTGTGAATGGATTTGATTTGTAGATAAGATATATATGATCTCAGGCTGAAAAATAAAATTGTAGATTAAGACATATGTGATTTAAGTTTAGATTGTATTATTTACTTACTTTACTTAAGGAATATCAAAAGAAAATTTTCTTAATTGTGAGTATACCAAAAAAACCTCTAGATAATAATATGATCAGTTACCCCTAAAAAATGTTTATGTACATTTCTTCTAGAAAGTCTTTGGTAATACATCAAATGCATATTGATTTTTACATTCAAATATCCATCTTCACTGGGTTTTGCACATCGCTATTCTTATTCTCAAATTCAGTGGGAATTATTTTCTTAATAGCAGTACAGGCAACTACACCCAGCAGACAGTCAAAGTAAAAGTCTGGTGTTTTCTACAATACAATTTAGTGCAACAATATGCATCTTAATAAATTAAGTATAAAGACAGTATGGCTTTAGCTACACCTGCCATGTTAATTTCCTTGCTACTGACTGTGCTACTTCAGAATTTCATAAGACTTGAACTTAAATTAAGGCTGCATATACAATTAAGACCCTTAAGCTCAATACTGCTGCTTTTTTGAATTTAAACCCCAGATTTCTAAAGTAGTAATTATCTCTTATTACTTGATAAGTCACTGAAAAATATTTTACTTGGCACAATCCTAGTACAAATTCTCTTCTTCCTAATTTGACACAACAGGGAAATGGCCATAAGGAAACCAAGTAATTCAATTAGGAAAAAGATTTTTTACTCTAGTAAAATGGCTCCTTAAGTTATTTTGATCTGGCTTTAAGAACTGTGGCTGTTGATACAGGAAAGCACATGGATACAGCACAATGTCACCAACATGCAAATCTGAGAAGTTTCTCCACTGTTTCTTATACAAGTATTTTCAATAGATTACAACTGTCTCAACTGCTGAAAACTCTTAACATTCTCTGAACTAAAAAAAACCACTTCACTGCAGCTATTTTATTTAAATAGGTGTTTAGAGAATAACATCACTTTTTCACTATTTTTACTAACATTTATTAAGAGACAGATTAAAAAGTTCTTGTTTAAATGTTAATCAACTGCAATCATTACTGTCCTTTCTGTCACACTGCAACAGTGCTTATGAAATTCAAACCATTTAGTCTTTTCAAAGAGGGTGGCAATAAAAACATCATAGGCAATTATTAAATTCTACTCTAAAGCTACATGATAATATGAATATTGAAAAACAAGCTTTTTAAACAAAACAAATATGGAACATTTTGGGTTTCTTATCTGGTGATTAATTTTAGACCAAGAAAAACAAAAAATGCACTAGCAACTCAAAACTCTCACCACCTTTCTAAGTTAAATCTTAATCTACAGCATTAGTACCTGGTGATTAGTCCTTAGGTTATCTATTTGTTTTTTGAATACCGTTGTCCAAAAGTCTTTGCAAATGAACTTCATAATATCTAATTCATCCTTGAATCTGGCAGTGTCTTTTGTAAATCTAAGAGAAAAATGAGAAATATATCAATAATGATGGTACACGTAACCTGACCAATTAAATGTAGAAATATTTTTTAATGGTACTATACAACATCATTTTTGAGGTTATTATAGAAATTAGTTTTCCAACCATTGCACAGTATCATTGTAGCCTCACTGTCCATTCATCAAGTATTTTAAGAGCAACACAGTGTTATCTTAGTATCTGCAATATGCTAGCACAATAAATTGTTTTAATTCCATGATTATCAAACATAGTTGACATACAGAAAGGTGGAAAGTGCTCCATCAGTTTTATCTTCAAAAAAGTATCTAAATAGAAGATAAATAAAATGCTCACACCTATACTATTTCTTGAAAGGTGTCCTTCAATTAGGCAAAAGAGCTCTAACATAGGACCAAGTATATAAAGCTTGTTCCCGTTTCTCAGAAGGGACTTCTTTCTCTTGCTTATTTCGGATCCTCACTGAGGGTCTTTATCTGGCACCAAAGGACCACTTTATTCAACAAAAGCATGATTCAGAAACCCAGGAGTCTGCACACGACCTCGGAACAAGGGCGCTGGAGTTGCACCGCCGGTCCCCAAAGGGCCCAAGCTGCTCAGTCGTGGAGTCGCAAGGGCTGAGGGCACTTTACAAAAATGAAACAGACTCAGGACCAATCATAAAATTATGCTCAAGAAGTAAATCAGAAAAAGAATAAAGTCACAAAACATACCAGAAGCAGGAAACATGCAAAAGTCTACACAAAGTAGAATTAAAGATAATTGTAAAAGTAACCATGTACCCTGACTCGGTTTTCATGACGGGAAGCACTAGGAAAACAACACACTTCAAAACTGTCCCGCGATACACAAACACAGGTCCTCACAAGAATGAGATACGAAAAGAGGAGATGCCAGAACGACTGCTGGTAAGAGGAACGCACTCTCCGTCCAGCCAAACCACCGCACCTTGCCCGGGCAGGTGTGCTTTACCGGCGAGGTGAAAGCCCCGAGAACGAGCAGCGGCTGCCAGGGCCCGGCGGGGACTCACCTCTCTATGAGCCCCTGCCCGACGCGGAAGCCCATGCTCTCCAGCTTGGTGGTGCAGCGCCCGTTCTCCTGCAAGACACAAGGGCCCGGCCACAGCGTCAGCCCCGGCCGCTGCCGGCTGGCCCCGGGGCGGTCCCGGTCCCACTCACCCCTTCGCCCTGCTCGGCGGCGCGGTACAGCCCCGCCACCATCTCGCTGTGCAGCAGCAGGAACAGCGCCTCGTCCGCCATCGCCGGGGCCACCGCCCCTTCCGGGCGGGCCCGGACACCCGCAGGAGATCCCGGCCGAAGCCCAGCAGTACCGGCCGGGCCGGGGAAGCTCTGGGAAAGGGGCTCTCAGGTTAAGGCTCTGTAGAGTCCGCAAACTCGGGCGCCGCCGGCAGCACAGGGTCCTGAGCGAGGGCCGGAGCCGGGGATCAAACGCGCCCCTCCGGCGGAGCTACCCCGCCCACCAAACTGCTGGAGCCCGGCGGAGCGCGCGTGTGTCACTGCCTCCGAGAGAGCGCCCGTGCCTTCCCCTGCCCGCAGCGGGGAGCCGCAGAGCGACGTCGGCTGCAGCCGGAGCAGAGCGTGATTTAACGCCTCGCCGCCGCCCCGGGCGCCACGCCTGACGCGCAGCGCGGAGCTGCCCTGCCACGCCGCTCCGGGCGGGATGTGAGGGCAGCAGCGGCCCCGTCAGGCCGCCACCGCAGCCAGCGCCAAGTAACGGCCCCGTCTATTGGCTCGCCGGGCACAAGCGTCTCTGGTAGCTCAGCGCTGATTGGCTCTCACCCGAGTCCCGAGCGTGCCGGCTCCTCGGCCCCATTGAGGAAAGCAGGATGTGTCCTGGGCGGGTGGGAACAAGCGGCCTCGAAGTGGTTTTCTGATTGGGCTACAAAGAAATGACGCTTGAGTTCTTATTAGCTCTGTGTCGTGTCACTCCGGCGGCCCCCTTCATTGATTCGTCGAGCTAGCAGGCAGAGCCTTCCACTAGTTGGGCGGCCGGGATGCCAGTCTGCCCCCGGGCTCTGTGATTGGTGGTCGCTTTTGGCGAGCCACCCTGGTGGGTGTGCCACTTCCTCTCGTGCCCGGTGATTGGCGGTCAGAAGAGGCCACCGAGGTGCGATTGGCTGTGCCGTCCGGGCCCGCGGCCGCCGGAGTGGGCGGGGCCTGTCCCCCCTGTTTCCCAGCGCTGCCTCGCGCGGGGCCCGGCCAGGCCGCGCGGCGGGCGGGATGGCGGTGGCGGTGCGTGCGCTGCAGGAGCAGCTGGAGAAAGCCAAGGAAAGCCTCAAGCACGTGGACGAGAATATCCGCAAGCTCACGGGCCGGGACCCCAATGATGTGCGGTGAGCGAGGCAGGGAGCGCCCGGCACGCCGCTGTCCCGCCAAGGAAGGGCCGGGCGGCGGGGGGGGCGCTAGTCGGGCCTGCAGGGCGGGCGGCGCGGAGATGGCCGCGGGTCCCCGGGTCTCTGTGCGGGCCGTGCCCGCCCCGTTCGTGCGGCGATGGGGCAGCTCTGCCCCGCGGGGGTGGGCCAGGGCCGCGGAGCGCAGGACGGAACGGCCGCAGGCCCGTTGGGCCGGGCGGGCAGCAGCGCCCCGGGGTTGGGCAGGCAGCACTAACAGCGCTCACTGTCTCTTGCAGGCCCCCTCAAAACAGGCTGCTAGCCCTCGCAGGCCCCGGTGGAGGTAGAGGGCGTGGGAGCTTATTGCTAAGGTAAGGAGGCGCAGAACGGCCAGCGGAGTTTCATCCATCCTTTCCCTGGCAGTGGTTCGTGCCATCGCGCTGAGTGTCGTGCGTTCCTCGTTTACATCCGCTGCTCGCTGCGGCACTGTTCGAATGAGCGCCAGAGCTACCCTACCAGGCCTTGGGGGTTAAGTTTAAAACAGCTCTTCATTTTGAGTTGCAGCATGTCTAAATGGGTGGCTTTCCCCGACCTTCTCAGCTGTTAGGCTGAAAAATAAAGAGGAAACGTCAAAATGAAGGGTGATATTGTGTGGTGGCTGGGACCTTGTCTTTGAAATCGTTCAAAATCAGTCTCTTGCTGATTTAAAAACTGGTAGGTGTTTTAGGAGGGATTTTAAAACACATGTAGATAAAAGCACATCCTGAAAATTACTGCAGATAAGATTATTTGAACACAATGGGGTGCTTGTTTCATTGTAGCTACTCAGTTCAATAAGTGCAGAAATTCAAGGTGAAATTAGATGCAACATGTTTGAACATTTCATTGCAGTGCTAACAGTAAATGGTGATAGAGCTGAGTAAAATTTATGTTTAATTGTGACTATAAAGCAAAATTATAGTTCAATTGTGCAGACTTGAAGTGGTCTAGGGATTAACCTAGCTTGTTCTAAGACCACAAGTGTTTTCTTTCTAGGCGTGGATTCTCGGATAGTGGAGGAGGACCCCCAGCCAAACAGAGGGATCTTGAAGGTGCATCCAGTAGGTGAGTGCAAAAACTAATGCAGCCAACTTGCTTTTCTGAATGAGAATTTGTAAGAGTAAACAAAAAACTGGTAATAACTGGGAACTTTCACGGTCTTCTTTGGAGATTACTTACTGAAGACTTGTTGGGAATAATTTGGGTGACAGCAAATCACTCCATGAAGTCTTTTTCATACCTTAGAGCAACGTAAAGTTGGTAGCAATAATATAAAGATATAGCAATACAAAGGTATTTGTAATTTTTTGGGTTTATTTGGCGTACAGTCTGCTATATTACATTCTTCTTAGTTGTGACATTTGTTTGCAGTGAACGCAAATTTCGTTATGACTGAGACCTGTTCAATAAATTGAATACAGGCAATGTGACAATGGACTCAGGTTTTGAGCTTTCACATTTGGTTGCAAATCCATCAGATGTGAGTGATAATTGTGAGTTTAAGTGCTGTGCACACTTAATGTGCAGTGGTAGTTCTCAACCAAAGCAAAGCTTGCTTTGGAATTTTTGAGTTAGCAGAAAATGAAGCTGGGAAACAGGAAAGTGCTGTGCCACAAATCTGAAAAGGAAGGCTGAAAATTACTTCAACTTTAATTATTTATTTTGGGACTTATTTGATTTAAATTATTTATTTTAAGTTGTTCTTTGTTAAAACCTTAGTTCATACATGTCTCAAGTGGTAATCTGTCTGCCTCTCTCCCATAGGTATTTGGTAGGTAACTTGAACAGCATTTCCTGTTTAAGAAATTATACCAACCTTTCCATGTCAATGCATTTAAATCTGTCTAGTGAGCCCTTTATACCAGTAGACATTTTAGAGATTTCTGGAAAATGCACATTTAAAAGAATAAATTCCAAATGTATTTTTTAAAGTCAAATATGGTATTTGTGGATTCTTCTGTTTTTATTACTCTGCAAGTTGTATTAAAATTTAAACTGTTCCATCTCACTGATTTTCATCAACAATAGATTCTTTCTGTAAAATGTTACTTACTGGTTGTTGGAACAGTGGGGAGATTTTCACCCAAGTGTTGGTTCTTATGACTAGACACACTTGTGTTTTTCTCATGCTGGAAGAGATTCCCTCCTAAATAAACATTCTCTAATGGCCACTGGCTTTCTTCCTCAGGCTGGGTGGAGAACGTCGGACAAGAAGAGAATCACGCCAAGAAAGCGACGCAGAGGATGATGATATTAAAAAGGTAATGTATAGTAAATGGAGCTGTGCAAGAGGAAACCTACCTGCAGCACGATGAACAAAGTAGTTTGTTTTCTGTCTTGTAGCCAGCCTTACCATCTTCTGTTGTTGCTACCTCCAAAGAGCGAACACGTCGAGACCTTATACAAGATCAAAATATGGATGAGAAAGGAAAACAAAGGTATGCAGAAATCTCTTTTACACTAACGTGGTACTTTTGAGTTCCAGAAAGTCATAGAAAGTAGCTTTAGATTTAAAAGATATTGCACACAAGCTGTTGTGTATCAAAGATTATGTTGAAGAGTTACCATTATGGTATAAAATTTAATTTAAAAAGTATTCTCTGAAAATGCTTCACAAGCAGCAACCTGTGCATTGTTCACATAACTGACATGGATTCTACTTTTCAGGCTACCTATAGGAGCAGGTTTGCTAGTGCTAGTGTTTTAACATCATTTGAGTAAGACAGAAATATCTGTAGTTTCATTGGTTGCTTCATGTCTTGGATTATTACAGCTGTCTTGGCTCATCATTTATTTTGTTGGTTGAAGTAGGGTTTTGGGTATGGTTCCTCACTCCCTCTGCCTCTCTTTTTAAATGAAATAGGTCCATCATGTTTCTTTTCTCGTACTACTTTGATTTCTTGTTGTGTGTGCAGTCTTGCCTTCATTTCACCTACTGCTTTTTAGATTCCTCCTATGTATATCTCCTTTTTCCTATATTTTATTTTTCTCAGGGCTATTAAAATTCTAACTGAAATGCAGCTCTATTGGTAAGAGGTATTGGAAAATCAAATTTGCAGCCGCATTTGACCTCCTGGACTCCGTCCATTTCAGATTGCAAGTCACCTGGTGCAGTAGTAATTATACACCAAATAAACAGAAGAATTAGAACCAGAATAAGGAACTATAGAAATCTTCTCTGATAAGTCCCCACAGATCAACTGGCATTTTGCTTATTTCTTTTAATTATAACCTCACTTAGTCTTCCTTTACTAGGTTCTAATTGTTTCCCATACAGGGAGACTTCAAAATTCTTAGTGAACTTCCTAGAGCTTCAGGCACTATAAGCTTGTTCCCTCAGAATTGTAGTTTTACTTCTTTTCAGTTCAGTAGTCTCTAGGGAGATGAGAAAACCAGTATTAGTCCCTATGAATTGTGGTGGAGGGAGGTTCTTTAAGAGGACAACATCCCCTGAACTCCTGATTTTGCTCAGTGTCTTCTGGGAAGTCGTTCAGATACAAATGCACTTGCAGTGATCTCTGGCTTTCAATTTTTATCTGTTCCCGTTTCTATTACTTAATATACTTTTACCTTTCCATGTGAGGTTTGTGCCACTGTAATAGAGTGGTAATTAGGGAAGACAGTAGCATTTCCTTTCTCACTTTATCAGGTTCAAGGCAAATAAGAAAGTCTTCATCAGGTTGTAAAGACTTAATTTGGGATTGAATAAAAATAAATTGAAGGTGGAAGTCAAGAAACTAGTTCTTGCTCAGAAGAAGGGAATTTGTTGAAGAATTTTACTTATTTTTCTCAAAACAACACCTAATCAGATGAGAGCAGTTCTGTTTTCATCCCACAGTGCAGTGTCTCATTGTTGGGCAGCCCTGATAGATAAGTTTTCACTCCCCTATGGCTCCATTTCTCCTTAGTCTAAGCAGATTGTGGAGAGGGGGAGTGTATGCTTTTTAGAAAACCCAGTTTGCTCCCTTATTGATAGCTCACACTGTATTTACTTGACTTTTTTTCTTCAGTACTTTCTGCTTTAAGATTTTTTTTTTAAATCTTATATTATTATTTCTAGATGAAAAATGTGCAGGCTTCCAGTTTTGCCAGTGCTAGCTGTTCTGTGTTGCACATAAGAGCTGTGTCTTACTCATAAGCAAAATGATCTGTCACTGTAAATTATATCCTGGACTGTTGGCACAGTCAGTATGTCTTCTGTTGCTAATGGCCTTGGGTACTATTGGGCTTTTAAAAATAAGTATCCTTGAGGTGGAAAGTTTCTCTGATTATTTA